GTTTGAGTAGGGGGTTTAAATCCCGATATAGCATGAAAACTTGTTTTTTTGGTTGGTGGCATTTCGAATTGCTAAGTCTGCACAATTCCTAAGGAAGTAAAATTTATGTAAAGGGTTTAAAAATATCATCAGGCCTCTTTAAGTTTTGATGGCTCACTGAGCTACATGGACATGTATTTTTAAAACAGATTTCAGTTTTCTCAGAAAAACAAATACTTTGACAGTTTGGATTAGATAATTCTGTTCAATCTGAAAAAAACTTGAATCTTGTTGTGAGTCACCTCTTTATTTCAGGAAAGCTTTATCCATCTTTTAGGCTTGCAGAATGGGTTTAATTCAAAAGGGGGGGAGGGGTTGGGAGGGGGAAATGCTGTCTTTGTGGCTTAAAGTCCCCAGAAGAACACAAAATTCCAAGAGTAAATTCCTCTTTGGCTAACCAGTTTCAGCAAATTAAGGGTGGATCAATAGGCATATTACCAGTACATTTGTTGCCAAATTTCATTAGGTCCATTTACATTTGTACCTTGACATTTAAAAACTGTTTGGATGGGAGGGCGTCTGAAGGACAGTGTGTATTTTTAATTATGAAGGCCCAGAGATTGGGCCGTATTGAGAATGGGGTGCATAAGCATGCTTGTTGTTTAACCGGTGACTTATTGATTGGTAAGATCTGTGGCTTTTAGGGGGCGGGAGAGTGTATTATTTAGGATATTCAAGTTGAAATTTGTGGGACCCTGTTTACATGTATCATTAAATAATGAATACACTTTTTATATAAATTCCATTTTTGTTAAAAATTAATCTTATTTCTTAAGATATTCTTAAAGTTTCCCCTGATAGCTGTAAGTGCACCAAACTGTACTGGAGAAGTAAGATTTCATGGACAAATGAAAAGGGGGATAAATGGGATGGAGTGGGTGACAGTGACCGGCACCTCAAGGTAAAACATGGGTCAGATGAAAATGGTGCATCTGCATGCTGGAGATGAACCCAAACAAGACATCAATGCACACGCTCACAAAGCTTGTACCTACAATGTAGTTGTACACTTCTACATAATGGTGTGAGTAGTGGCGTGTACCATCAAGGACTGCACTGACTAGCTGACACGTTGCTCATGATTCCAACTCGTGGATTTGGTCGTGCATGGGGATTTGATTGCTTCAGTCAGGCCCTGTCAGCCAAGGGGTCATTGTGCAGTGCATTATTAGCGGCTGAAGCAGGGACGAGAACCTATTTTTAGAGAGAACAAAGTGTACTGCACGCATGCTGTGTTGCTCCAAGCCATGACTAAAATGCACATGTACATGAAGACATGCTGTGTGCAGTTCATTTACAAGTACTTAATTCCCCTGCCTGGTTCCAGTACTGTGTCTTCGTGCCTACGTTTATGCAGATAGACACCTCCACCCCCCACCCCGCACAACATGGTGTGGGTTAGAGACAGTGAACACAAGGATTCTTGCATCATATCCAGGGGTGCGAAATGCATGGGCCAACTCACGCAGCCTGCATGGTTGTGAGTTTTTTAATCAATACTGCTTTAAGTAGTGAGTTGTGCTGTGGCCACATCAGGCTAGCCGTGGCTGGCTGCAATCTGGAAATTATGGAACCATCTGCCATTAGCTGCCTAGACGGATATTTTGCATGTTGACTTGACAGTTGGTAATATAGTCCAGTGGGCTAGAGTGGTTGCATTATCTGCTTTTTAAGGGTCATTTTGTTGACTGCATCATAGCTGAGGATGATTAATTACATTGTGTCTAATTATTAAAAATAACACCGAGACTTGTTTTGATCAGTACTGGATTCATAGTGTCTTGTTGGAAAAAAATGCAGTATCATAATAGTACCTGTGGGATATTGCCACTATTCATCAAAAATCTTGAGCTCTTAATGTCTCGTATTTCTCGTAAGAGGTAAGCACAGCCAAAAGCATGCTAACTTTGCCGGAAAAAGTTGCTTAAACTTATTGCCTTAACAATAGAAATCTCCATGAGCGCACAACCTGTGCTAAGCACTGCCATGAAATAGTGCTTAAGGTTAGGAAATTTTTCTGCTAAAGTTAGCATGAATTTCAGCCCTGTGAAATAGGACCCAGGGTTAGCTTTCCAATTGAGTGTGTGCAGTAAATAACTTTGTGATTCAGGGTACCGTGCTGCACTGTAGTTTACATATTGCACATGTGCGAAAGACAAGCTTCCTCTCTAAATCACAGCTTTGTCACCATCTCGGGCGTCATCACCAACATACAAACCTCTTGCAGGCACATGGTGTTCAAGAATAAATCCTTTTTGGACAATAGTATACAGTTTAGATTTGTTGAAGCAAAATGTTACTTTTTATTGAGATTTTAACTTCAAAATCAGAGAAGAGGAACCAGTAATAACTCCCCAAAGATTACACTTCGAAGCGCGGGAAATGTAGCTGCTTTTTAAAATTGATGGGAGACGCCACTTTTGTAGATTGGACCACTCGGAGTGATCTCCCTTGGTTGGAGTTGTGTCGTTTTAATGTGGCCATGTCATCATAACTTTCAGTCGTTTAAAGTATTGTATTTAAGCCATCTTTTCTTGCCATTTCCTCGTCATTTGCAGTCATTTTATTGTTATTACAAAACCATCTTTTGTTACCACACCACAGCTGTTTTGTAACAACTGTCTTTTAAAGTGAGTTGTATAGGATGGTTGTGATGCCTGAGGGTCTTTTTGGGTTTTTTTGGTGGTATTATGTAACGGTTAAAAAGATTTACTGTCATCACCGAAGGATAGGTATGTAGTTTCATGTCAAGCTGGTAAGGAATCTTCATGAATGATTTTAGGGTGAGATTTTACTTTGCATTGTCCAGTGTTCACATAACAGTTGTGTAGCCATGCCAAAAGCAAAACAACCACTGTAAGGTCTCTTTGATTCCTGATAATATCCTCTCCATCAAAAAGACACACTGTGATAAATTGTAATGGGTAAACACAATACGATTGACGACAGGTTCTCGGGACTGAATCTGGGCTGAAATTGCATCACATTGTCATGGTGATGCTCACGTCATCTCTCTAGCACTTTCTTCCCCCTTGTTACCCACGCGTTCAGAATGAGCTTAGGGGAGTAGGACGTTAGTATGCTGAAGTGCAGGGATATAATTTGTGCCTACGTTAGTGACAGGGTTGATCTTTTTTTTCTTCAAAATAACGTCAAGGTTAAGTGATGTAGTGACGGCACTAATTTTCAAGATGCCACAAGGAGGATATAATGCAGCGTGAAATTGCATGCTGGCCGTCCTGGATAAATTACTGATGGACTAATCATGTTGGTGCAAAATCAAGTTTCGTTTAGGATGTACGTGGACATCCTTGTAGAGGGAATTTAATATTCACAAAATGAGTTTGTTGAAACTGAATTTTATTTTAGATCATGGCACTGCATGGGGGGGGGAGAAATTACAGTTGGACGTGGGCATATTTGACCTTGCTTGTCAAAACGAGTGATTGCAGCTTGTCTAAATAGTCCGAAAGTCATTTGTGTGTGAAGATTTCTTCAGACTTCCTGTGCATACATGTACAGTATGGTCTAACAAAGAAAAAGACATTTGTCTTTGTGCAAATTACAACTCAAACCGTGAAAGATTACAGTGTGAAACTTTAATACACAAAAGATTAAGACCTTCCCACGTCCATGTATCCTTCCTATATCCTGAGCTCTGGAGGTGTCTTGATTCATAAATGTACCTGAAAACATGTACATGTACATTCTCACTTTTGGATGACATCACTGGGCCTTGGTTCTTCTCTCTGATTGGCCAGTTGATGGCTGTATCCATAATTCACACTCAGGACTCAAAGGGGCAAAAATAGTGTGATGTGAAATATGGGGAAATTCTGGATTATTGACCAAACTCTTAACCTTTTCACCAAATATGCCTGAAAGTTAACTTTTTATGCACTATAAAGGTCTCCCACACTGTGACAAAAAGGTTTCAGTTATTTTATCATGTTGCAGCAAAACATGAGGAAAACATACGAATCCATGTACAAAGCGAAGGGAGGGTTGCCCCCTTGCCCAAACGTGAGTGCGATGAATGGAATAACCCCCGACCATAGGAATGTACATGTATACATTTCTGAAATACATGTAAATGAGTTTTCATCCAGAGAACTCAGTCAGAAAATACTCTGCAAAGTATCGTTTGCTTTCTGCCTGCAGTACATTTAAAAAAAAACAAAACATGCTCCCTTCCATTGGTTACCTCTTCCCAGGGTTTTGCCTTATTCCCAGGGACCTGATTATTTGAAGGTGCTCATTGAGTTGGAAGGATTAGTACATTACAGCTTCCATTACATACATTAGGGAAGCTTTTTGTCATTTGTAACTATGCACTGTTGACAAATTTTGAGTGATTTGCAAGATTCCAACAAGTGTTATGTTTGTGTTTTATAACCCCCCCTCCAAAAAAATCTGTTTATTGATGCCAAGTGAGCTAGTTTTCCAACAGTACATGCTGAAACTGAAGTGCATCCCAGATTCCAAGGTCATTTGGGAACAGCAATGTGCATGCAGGAGGTCTGGCTGCCCTTTCAGCCCAGTCACACGTTGACTCGCACACGTGCTTTGTTCTCAAATGACCTCACCCATTGAAAAACTGAACTGGCTCACTTTTGTCATTGGTTACTGGCCTATTTTATCCAATCTCCCCCCCCCAAAAAATTTTAGGATTGATCACATGAATTAACAGGTCCCTATTCATGACAAGGTTGGAATAAGAATTTATGATGTCAAAATTCTCCATTTCAGCTTTTCTCTATTTCAGCGTCTAAGGGGGAAGGACTTAATAAGAATCCGTATATGAAATGTGCCATTGGCCACTGTTTTGACAAGGTTTGCCCACATTGAATGTCGTTGATTGAACAAGTAGGGCGGCTGTCTCTATCCAGTGGCTGGATTTACATTGACAATTTTGTCAACGTCAGCTAAAAGGTCTTTTCTCTCCTTGTTTTCATCTCCAGTTCCTTTCTCAGACTCGTAGATGCATCAACCCAGACTCCGGATACTGACAGGAGAAAGGAAAGACGTAGGCAGCCCTTGAACTGAAACATGACACCCCCCACCCTAAGCTATTTATCCCCTCTGCACGCTCTGTGCATCCAGTAAGTACTAAATCCTTGTTGCCGCCATCATTGCAGCGTGAACATCCACGGCAGAGAACAGAAGAAATCTCCAGGTTTTTCTTTGGGCGTCACAAATAGGAGACCTGTCAAATGAAATAGCAACTGCCACTCCCAGCCTCCTTGGCCAGTCTGTAAACAAGTAATTATTTTTAATGGGGAAGAAGGAAGGACAAAAAATTGACTAAATATAAACTACAAGACAGTAATTTGATTTTTTTAATCCAAAAAGTGGAAGGACACATTTTAATAAATTTTATTTGAAATGAAATTACCTTTTCTTGTCCTTGTGCACAAGTTGGATGCACAAATTTATTATCTCAATTAACGTTGCCTATTTGTATCTTTGTTGCTGGAGGCCCACTAGGAGAATCAAAACTGCAGACACAGATGTATTGACTTGAAATGTCAGACAAATTGGGAGGAAAATCATTGCAGAGAGTGGCGATGAAGATTTTCAATCCTTTGTCAAAAGTTAAGACATGACTAACAGTAATTAAATACTTCAGCGTCTCCATCTGCCAGTAGATTGTCCGATATGAAGGTGAATTTTTTTCTTCTTTTTGACGCGGAAAATGAAATTCTGACGTTTGGGCTGGTGTCGTGTTTGCAGCCATTTTACAGGGTTTTCCTCACTATTTGACGTTTGTGTTGGTAAAAATTACAAAATTACTTGACATCTCATTCACAATTTCCTATCATTTGGAAGAAATTGCAGTGCAGCAAATGTTAAGTATTCATGTGATTTGCGTCGCGATATTTATTACATTTATGGCTGTGACTATCAAGAAGCACCTGAAACAGATATTTAAAATTTTAAATAAAAATTGTCAGCAAATGATTTTAAATAAAGTGCAAGTGGCAAAACTTTGTTAGCTGTTTATTTAATATCTTGATGAAACTGTTGAATTACTGCTGAAACACAAAAATCAGGTGAAAGCAAATTTGTTTTCGAAATGTTGGGATTGGACATTGTTAGACTCTTCTGTTGACTCTTGCTTAAAGGGTCCCCAGAGGGCACTGTCAGATTTGATTGGTCGCTATGTGTTCTGATGATTCGTGTGTCAGAGGTGAATATGTTTGTAGGCAGATGCTGTGGATATAAACGATGTGACAAATGGTTGCAAATTAGTGTTTTATTTTGAAAACTTCTCATGTGCAAAAACACACAAGTTTAAAGTACACAGAAAACTGTAAAATTAAGTTTAAATTTTCACTGTTTGACGGTGGTCAAAATGAGGCATTGGGGCCATCATGTGGCACATCATTTATATCTCAGAGAATGTTCACATTGCATTTGTACATCCGTGTACAAGTCGTTTATTGGGTTTCTTGGCCCTAGGCTGTGCTTTCATTCAGAACTTTAAACATGTTAAAAATCCATTGCTGTAAATTAACATTAAAAGGAAAAGGTTTTTAAAGTGAGACCTCTGAGACACTTGGTGGTGGCAGACACAGCAGTCCTACAATGCCACGCTAGTATTGTTTGTGTCCTGGGTGAATTCATGTTCACATGCTCAAACCAACGCAAACAGTGGCGGAATTTTTGAGTGGGACCAGTGTGTTTTCCACCACCAAGTATCTTAAAAATCTTCCAATAGATAATCTATCTCAGCCTAGTTCCCAAATCTGCCGGCTGAGGTAGAGTTGCCCTGTAGACATCTCACAAGTACTTCATGTGCATGTTACGTTCATGCGCATGTTACGTTCATGCGCATGCATTGTTTAATCTGAAGGGAGCTCCAGACTTTGGAATAAACATAACAGTCGTGCAATGGATAGTTAACATGTCTTATAAATTACTTCTAAAAAAAAGGATAAAAATACTAAAAAAAAGTGGAGGTTATGTATTCAAAGAGAGAGAGAAAAGTAGCAACAGTTTGATATTAAAACCAGGGTTAGAGGAGCGTGTTTAAATTTCAAAATCGTATTGAAGGCAATATATTAACAAGTTTTAGGTATATGGACAAGATTAGTTTAGCATTCTTTGTCTAATACACATGTACGTACTATATAATATATCCTTTTTGATGAATATGTGCACGTTAGTCTAACACCAGACCCTCCCTAACAATTAATGACAAAATGTTCTGCTGTTAGCTATTTGTAACATCTTGGATTCAGAAATATTTGTGAAAATTTTGTCACTCTCAGAAAGATTCTTTTTTTGAAAAAAACTATTTCCATTGCCATTGATAAAAAAGGTAAAAGCTCTTTAAAAGTGCACCTACTTTTTGGAAGGTTGGAATGCCAGTCCAGACTGTTGGAGAGCTTTCAAGAAACTTTAATTATTTCTTTGTGGTGTTGGGTGCATGGCCAATTAAAGCCAATTTAGAGTGTAGTGTTACAAACAATACTGTAATCATGACAAAAGAGACTTGAAAGAAAACGTTGCTGCTAATTTTTGGTGGAATTTGATTGTAACAGTGTCTGCTATCAAATGACTTGTATGAAGCCTTATCTCAAAACTTGGATCCAGTACTGACAGCAGCTCCAACACCATTTTTGAAAGATGGACTTTGGCTTCAGGTGTCGGGCTCTTGGTGCTTGTGTCGGTACACATGTAGGAAGGCGTGTTTTAGATCATGCCTCTCACAACCAAGGAAAGGGCATGGAGCTTAATTGAATGACTCTATGGTTTGAAATTTGGCCAGTGGATGAGCCCACACCCAGCATGGTATAATTTAGTCTGGTACTTGCAGTTACCAACCAAATGCATATTTGCATCACTTGTTCAAGGCGTATGACTGAGATGGTGGACGAATGGTAACCAGTTGTTATTTTTACTGCATGAATCAGATGTAGATGCACTTTATCAAGTTTTCTTACATTCCCAACGATGTTGCTAGCTTGTTTATGTAGGTAGCTGGTTGTGTCAGCGTATGTGACATACATGTAAAATATCCTTTAATTGAACTGAAAAAAAAAATCCCAAACTTAACATGCTGCATGGTTGCATTTTAGTGAACATAATCATGCCAAACAAATTGTTTTTAATTCCAAGTTCCAACTATTGTAGATCTTGTCGTGATAAATTCCAAGCATTTGGTGTTCCTGACATGGAACTGTTTGGAGTTCCATCCATATTGTTGGCACTTCTTGCATTCACTTGAAAGAAAAGTTGACGAGTCTCGTATGGCTTTCGGTTTCAGACAATTGATGGAAATGGCTCTATTAAAAGAGGGTGTAGTCTTGAATCCAGACATACTGTTGGGGTTAAGAGCTGGACGCTGCTGATAGGGCAAACTGATACACAGCAAACCATCTGCTGTGTTATAATTACAGTGTCTTGACTCAAGTCTAGGCACAGTACATGTACATTGCACATGCTGGCCAGGGTAGGTTCAAATGTTATGTACTTGAACAGATACCCAGCAGGATATACCAGACAAGATATTGGACGGAGGGGTGCCCGCCTTACCCTGTACACACTGTAGACTATTGTTACCCAACACATCCCCCTAGAAGTCTGTAAAGAATTCCTGAGATTCCGATCAAACAATGACCAACATAAAGGCAGGGGGGTTCTCTCTGTCCCATATCTTGTTTCAAATGTACCACGATATATGGTAAAGGGCCCCCCAATGTGATGTGCAAGCTGCCTACTGCAACCCCCTTGGAAATCTGAAAGGAATTCCATCAACACAAAAGAAGACACAATAGAAGGGGTCCCCCTTTGCCGCATATCATATGGACAGTCAGGTGTGAACAGGTATGCATGCAAGAACTGAAAAATTCTAGTATTGTTCCGGTATTCGAATCTGAACGACAAGGACTCTTTCAAGCTCTACGAATGCTTTGAAATGTGAATGCTTGTGAGGCCAACAAACTATTAAATTATAATTGGAATTGTTTTCATCGTAAATTATTTGTTCCGAGAAAATAAAAACCCTTCCAGAATATATATCTTCTTGCTAGTAGTCTTTCAGTGATGTATATAAACAGGTTACATACATGTACACATGGTATGGCTATACTGGTACTTGTCGATTTGAAACTCTCACGTGCAATGCATGCTTCTTTTAGTGAAAAGTCTCGTGCACTATCATTCCGCCGATGATAAACTGAACAGTTTCCTCTGTAAGCGTAATATCCAGGTAGACATGCTGCAACAAGTCGATTACATTTTCCCAACTGATAATTTCACTGCCAAGCAAATTCCAAGGTTTGTTTGAAATATGCTTCTAGTATAGACCAAGTTGGTGTTGTGAACACATTCCAGTTTTCAATTGTTTTCAAATCTGATATTTTCCTCTTCAAACAATATTGTGTGTATATATACCGCCCATTATCACAGTTAATAACAATCTCTGTGGAACAGAATAAGCCAAATAATTTATAACGTTGTGGCATGCTTGTCATGTTCTGAACTTTGTATTCCAATCTTGCTGTACCACCACGTAAAGGTAAATGAATCAGAACCGAAAGAAATGTATTTATATTTACGTTAATTTAAGAATCTCCAAAATTAATTTGAGTTATTCCATGTTTTATTTCCTCAGTAGTTATGCTTTATTCTTTGCAGACACTGTCCTATTTATGTTAGATTTTCCATGTTACTTCTAACTTATTCTCTTGCAGATTGGGAATAGGGTGTTATAATATGGCTCTAGTTCTCTGGTGCAGTAATCTGTATATTGTTGCGTGGTGATGATATAATAAAGATATTCATGTGAATAGTCAGTTGAATTTCACCTGTGTGTTGCCACTATATTTAATTTTTTTGGGGGGGCTGTTAAATTTGGAATCCTTACCTAGGAAGAGTGTGTGAAGGGTACACCCTATACGAGTGTTTTTTTTAATCTTCAGAAAGTCGATCTTGATGACCCTCGCTCTAAAAGATAGTGTTGAGCAAAGGTAATAAAAAGTAAAACAAAGCTTCATTTGGAACAAAGTGGATAATGCCCAGAATGAGTACGAAATAATGTATTGTTCAGAATAGCAACTTTACAGCACATGTACTTCATATGCTAAAATAAGCTATTCGTGAGTTAAATTTGAATAAAATCTAGCATACCAAGTTATCCGATTGCACATAAACTGAACAGTTTGAATTCCCCCGACAAAAGACACTCTTGCTATACCTCATGCTTCGGGTCAAGCTTTTGCATAGCAACCACCATCTCTGGAATGGACTGGCTCTTATGTAACGAAGCAAAAGCTTGCCCCGAATCACGAGGTAAAGCAACAGTGTTTTTAGTAGAGAATTCCAATTATGTTCATGTGAACTCAAAGAACTCAGTGTACCTGATTTTATTACATTTAACTCGCAAAAAAGGCATACTGCCAACAGTCAATTACACATTTAAGTTGAATGGGAACCAGAAATTGTCTTGAAAAAAAGGGGGAGGCGGCACCGAGATATTTGTACTTTTATATCTGGGCTGGTCTCTTGCAAACAAGTGTGCTGCTTGACAATCAGACAGTTAAATCAAACTGTGCTTCACAGAACACTCGTCTTGGAAGTTTCAAAGATATACATGCACTACAACACTGGATTCAATAAACTGCTGGTGACCCAATAGCTTGTTTCTAGACTTATCCTGATAACTCAAAAGGTAACAGTTGTGTGTTGACACTTGACAGACTTAATCCAAACTCAAATAACACATACCACTCTGATATTTTTCTTCCACCCAATAGCAATGTTATTCAGTCGGTGCTACGTAAACAATACATCAAGGCATAATGGTAAGCATAACATGAAATGAGGCTGGAGGGAAAAAACACAGCTCCACAAACTGGAGCTTTGAAGCTTTCTCAAAATAACCTTGCAACTGTTCTCTTTTTAATTCCTTTTTTATTCCCTATGAGCTGTCATTCACAGAAGATTGCATTGGTCATCCATCTACAATTAATCTTGGGTACTGAAGATATGTATCAATCATAATGAACCTTGCCTTTTTACATCATCTTATAAAACACTGACGATACATCACACCCTCATCCTGTTATTAAAATTAAATCGCAGTATAAAATCAAAGACTCAGTTCAGTGACGACACATCTTCAGATATTTCCTCCAAATTTGATTTCTGAGGAGAGGAAGTTTGTAAGCTGCATCTCTTCTGTACAAAGCATCAACTGCTGACACATGCGTATGTACAAAGCAATGCTAAGCAGTGGTGAACACTACACCACTTTCTCTAAATGCCCTGCGTCACTGATAGTGCCACACTTTGTTTTCATGTACGCTCAATGAACCCTGAGCCCCACTGGCTCTTTTACTGTACATGTAAAGAAAGTGTGCTGTCATTCGGTACAGAGGCCTCTTCAAATCAGCAGCAGAATTGCCAAAATTGCAAAAATAAAGTTCATGGGCTACTGAGAGAAATAGCACCATCTGGAAGCCAACGTTATTGGCAGAGAATAGAGGCAGAGGTAGACATGACTTTTGATAGCAAGAATGACCCCTTAATAGTCGAACCTCAGGAATAAAAGGTCCTTTAGACTTTGTAGATTACCTTGTTACAGCAGGAACATTGTATTAGGAATGAAAACTATGAACAAAAGATTGGGACCTAAACTTTCCTCGTTAAAAGCAGAATAGTCGACAAACAGTGCTCTTATTAACTTTTCGACATCAAAAGCTTGTCACTGGCCGGGTACTAAACCAGTACACAAGGCTCCACAAGCTCCATTGTCACTTCTGCGTCGTTTATGACACCAGCAGGAAAATTGCCATTCTTGAAATTGAACTTTCAATACAATTCATTCTAAAGGTCCACAGGATAATGCAGGATCACCACTGCCATGAAGTACTAGAGAAGAATAAGGCAGGTTGGTAACTCACACAGATGCAAATGCCGTCAACACAGTGAGAGGAAATGCAGTGCGAGTCTTAAATTCCACTTGAGCTGTGAAAGATCACTTTCTGATCAATCGGTACAAGGTAGCAACCCCTTAACCCTAACCCCATAGGCCTTTTTGCTCGGGACCTTCCTCAATTCTCCAGAATCCTCCAATTTGGGAGTGCAGAATAGTTGGATTCTCCCTCAATCCTCCAAACTTTCTTGAAAATGTTACTTGGAGGTATGACTACTGCCTCGATCCTTCAAAATCCTCCAACAATTCCTGTCATTATTTTGAGGCAGTGCGAATGGCATTCTTGAGCAGTGCGGTTGATTCAAAAGAAATATCGGGCTCAATTTATACATGACTGAGCAAGAACGCAAGGTCTAACCCACGACCTTCACTCATGGCATCCTTCACAATCAGCCATGCACTTTTGCCATTCACCCTCAATCCTCCAAAATCCTCCAAAACTGCCCATTGGATTTTGGATGATTGAGGAGGGTCAGGTTTAAAATCGAGTTTGACATTTGAGCCCACAACCCAACATATGGTTAACGCCACAGAGAAAGGACACTTTCTTCATGGGTCAATCAGATAAATGGCATCTTTCCACAGCAAACATTCTGCAATAATAACCAGTGAACTGTTTCATTTGCATCTTTGTGTGACTTGAGCCTTAAACAGTGACTAAAAGACTAGGTAAAGGGTCTCAAGCAGGTACCAGAAATTGCACGCATATGTTAAGTATAAACACAGATATGAATTCTAATTTTTCCCCAGCCTCATTTCATTGAAATTGGAAAAAAAAATTGTGAACACGCTAACAACCTTATACAAAAAAACACTTGTCAAGCCTTCAATTTGCACAGAATCTTCTTCAGGTATCAAAAACCAATTAATTTTTACACAGTTGTGTCAGTTGAAAACAGTTCAATTTTCTTCTGTAGCTTCATTTCACTTTGGCTCAGTCTGTGATTCCCATTTAAAGTTTTTTGTTTCATTTTTAAACTAACGATGACCTTTTGAAGCCAAACAATTCCCAAAAAGTTTCCCCACTAAGTTGGCAAAGGTTCGTACGGATTTCTTTACAATTTAACACCAAGATCTAGGATTCAACTCTCAAGATCAATGCACCTTTGGGCCATAATATTTTACAAAATAAACAAGACAAGTAACTTCTGTGAGAAGGGGGGGATGCTTTTTCATAAACATAAGAAAATATCAAAAAAATCTTTCTGATCGTAATTTTCAGTATATAAATTTATCAACGGCCCAAGGACCGCATTGCTACAAGAAAATCTCTCTAATTATTCACATAAAAGAGTTTGGAAATAAAACATCTCCTCACATCTTGAAAAGAATCACGGTCTGTCAATAAAGTACTTTTTCAGCTATTTCAAGTAAAAACGGAAAAAAGAGCAATTTTTTTTCCAGGCATCAGTGCACCACATGCACATAATGGCCTGCTTTGTCGATGCCAAGATGTATTATTAACCAACATGGAAAGGGACACACAATGAAAAAAAAAACACGAGATCGCAAATCCTTTCAACTGTCCGCCGCTTAAATTAAAGTGACAATCTCTGGGATTTTCTGACATCTGGTGGATGACCATTTCTTTCCTGCTGGCATTCCGCATTACAAGCACATGATATCATCTCCATTGGGTGCAGGGAAATTAAAAGAAGAATGGGCGAACACATTGCAGGGTAGAAAATGTGAAACGAGCTAACCGCTGCCATCGTTCCTTGTCATGAGTGTCATTCAGTTCAGGCCCATAGGCCTCTTTTTTTTTTTGGTAGCGTACAACATCATGTACAATTTGTGTGTGTGTGTGTTGTATGTGAAATTGTTGAAGCTTCCTTTGCAGTAAAGGTGAGCCCAACCAGCAGCTTTCCTATTGCGAGGCTGCAATGAGGTGTGGCTTACTTGGAGCCCAGAGAGGGGAAATCCTCTTCACTGGTCATCACTGGGGCCTGACTGCTGGCACCGCCGCCGCGGCCACCGCCGCGGCTGCCGCCACGGCCACCACCACCACCGCCACCACCACGGCCGCCGCCACGGCCACCTCCACGGCCCCGCCCACTTCCACCACGCCCTCCAAAGCCGCCCCCACGGCCACCACCCCGCGGGGTGTACCCACGATCGTTTTCGGTTGCGTCACGGTCACGGTCGCGCTCACGGTCACGGTCAAAGTCACGCGCGCCGCCACTGCCACCACGGCCGCCACGCCCACCTCTACCACCACGCCCACCGCGTCCCCCACGCCCACCCCGGCTTTCTCCAGATTGACGATCCGATTCATTGAAGCTGATGGTGATATCCACAAGCTGGGCCTTGTTTGAGCGATCCTTGTGTGGGTGTTCGGCTGTGACCACAGGCTGAGAGGGAGAAAAAAGCCGGGCTTTATCAGATTACATGTATTTATCACTAGTCTAAAAAGAACACAAAGCTTTCTGAGGCATTCACTAAAATTGTTTTCCATTTGTTTAGTGAAAACCTACATCCAACTGTGATAGTCTTACTCTTCCAAGTAAACCCCTACCTCTGACAAAGATTTTCTCAGATCAATAACCCTGCCTACGCAATACTTCTATCTCCTACTCTTTAGTGAACAAGTGCAGTGTCACTAAATATCTCCAACAAGAACACCATGCTGACCAAAATAGATGTTTAGGTAAAGGCAGGGTTTCATGAGGTCATCTCTGATTTATTTTTATCATCAGAATATTTCAAAGCCCTTTCAAAACATGGACAAAGTGCCCGTACCAAAGTCAAAGTGGGAAAAGCTCTGTCAACCTTTCTCACAGTCCACTGATATCACTACAATGCTGATTTTGGGGAGGATAATCAGGAAGGGTTGAGGCAGAGACATTATGGAAACCTTTTCCCTAAGGCCGCCCATTCTCTCAAGCAACTTGTTCTCACTGGCATGATGCACAATTCCATCGAGTGCCATTCCTGATTGGATGGTCTATACGGAACAGAGATGATCCTCGGGGGTTCTTGCCCTAAAAAGCCACAAACTCGCTCTATCCTTTCAAAAATCACAAGTTTTTGTTGGTTTATCTCAACCCAAATCAAGTCGATCTTAAACATCCCAACTCCACTTTTAAAGCACAGACAGTCCAGAATGCAACCTTTTCTCTGCTTCCTTACACAGGCATTCCATATCACTTGACTGAATTTGACTTAAAAGCACAGCTGTTGATCGGAGGGCACGTCTGCACAAGTTTCACTGGAAATACACAAGATGACTCTCCCCAAACTCAAAGCTTGGCATGTGGATGTAAACTCCAAATTTAACTCAAGATACATTTTTCCAGACTTCAATTTTGTTGAAATTTCATTTCACAGACCCCCCCCATTCACCGGCAAGGTCTTACCTTCTCCTCCTCAGATTTCTGCTGCTTCTTGAGGGCCACGGTCCGGTCCCATTGGCTGGTGTCCTCTCCTTCGCCGGCGCGGCGTACGTTGAACTGGGCCTTAGAGCGCTCCTTGGACAGCTGCTCCTTGTACTCATCCAGGGTCAGCTCCCGAGTGCCCTCTTCCTCCTTGGGGCTTTCTTCCTCGCCCTCCTCTGCTGCCTCGCCTTCCTTGCCCTCGCCGTCTTCGGTGGTTTCCCTGCAGGAAGGGGGGAGGAATGCGTGACTTGGTCGAGACTCGGTTAAAGAAAAAAATCTACTTAAATCCTAACAGGTGCAGTGAATTGCAGCAGGTGTGAAAGGCCAGTGTAGTTTACTGCACCAGGCATTCAACCCGAATGACCTGCTCACATGGAACAAACATTAGGGAGCTGGTCCCACTGAACAATGCAACTGTTGTGACAATGAACTTGTGGTGACTGACAACCACTGACTCCGAGGCTGTTTGGCCTTGGGGCGAGTTGACCAATTGGATCCTGTTACATTGGAGCCAGCAAGCCACTGTGACAAATGATGCAGACTGATGCATCTGGCAGAGATTACAGCCAAATCACCTTTAGGGATAGAATTAAGTTTACAAGGAAAACCCTGACATACTAGATGCAACCAGAGTAACATTTGGGGGTCACATTTAAGCTCACTTGCAATCTTCTCAATCCCTGGATGTGGCATGCACGCAAAATAGGTATGCATAGGTCCTGTCCAAAACAACCCTCCAGAGTTGTCTATTGTCAGCACTTGACCACTGACCACATGCTATGCGACTGAAGGTTACAAAGACCTATAATGGCCAAAATCTAGGCATGAGATTCACGTTACATTTGGTCTTTTTATCTTACACCTTTTTCACAGCATGTCATCAAGTAAATATCACGAGATGCAAAGGACCTGTTTGCTTCACACAAATCTGATCTCGATCAGTGGACCCAGGGCTGGTTCACTCCATTCATCAGGAGGGTTCTGGTGTCAGTGAACCAACGACGGCTCACTGATCCCAATGCGGATCAATAAGAAACAAACAGACCTAAAGCCAGCATCTCTCTGTATGTGCCAACTTCCAACAACTCTCAATGACGCCTCATGCGGCAGCTGATACGCATAGCATGCTGCAAGTCAGTCAGGGGAAAAAAGAGTTCTTTCCAAAGCTGCACGTGACTGTTGTGCATGAAAAGAGTTTTAGTCAATACCACTGGCACTGAGATATTGTTACTGCTCACTTTGCTTGTGCGTCGGCATCCAAGGGTTGTCCGCTATAGTCAGGAGTTTCTGCCTCATCAGTCAGGTTCGACGTGTTCAGGTCCCTGCAATGACAGTAAGAGGACAGTTCGAAATGAACCAAACAACGTCTTCAATTGAGGCCCGACAAGTTAATTGCCAGACCTACTCCAACTTGAAAAAAAATTCAAGAAAATTAATCAGCAGTCAACGTCTGCAGAACAGGGTGATTAAGCAATGATCGAAAGCCCTTCTGATTGTAGGAGTCCGCTGGATTCAGAAGTCTTCTACAATTCTATGGGTTTTTGTTTCGCTACTGCTGGAGTACCTAAAAAAAAAATGGACGAGGTTAGAATGTTTTGTTTTTGGCAAAGTCTGTGTTCTGTGAGCTCTTACAGTTTGTGCAAATGAAAAAAAGCATCTGGATGGACAATATAGATAAAAGAGTAAGGAAAAAAAAACTTGCCCAACTAGAAAGAAATTTGTTGACATATTTCGCCCTTTAGTCATTAGAGAAAAGCTTTTTCAACGTAATAGTTGGCAGTTTAGTGATAACAATGCCAGGCTTGTGACGCAAGTGCCCAATCAGTGACAGAACCTAACTAGTGATGCAAGTGGTACAGCAGTGAGAATGCTTTTTTACCACTGGTGTTTCAACAGATCTTACAGTTGAATCTTGCCAGGCTTGGTGTGGATATGCGTACAAGGATATCTCTGGCTTGAGAGATTTTCTACTCTCTGGTCTCATATAAAGTCAAGGTGCTTATTTTATGGCCACAGAGAGTATGGAGTGAGTGCACCAGAAATTGACTAAGCAATTAGTGCGCCTTGTTCCCCACCTGATCTTAAAGGAAATAGGCCTTTGTCATGTAAGCTTACATCCCTGAGGGTTAGTGGAAATCAAATAGACTTGGATTTTGTTTGGCTAGCATAAATGTGAATAGTGCTTGACGTTCCCAGATTCATTCCAGTGTCAACCGTGCAGATGTTGGAATCTCCCCAGGCATGATTTCTATACACAAGTTACTTTATATTGAAAAAAATGGGAAATGACACAAGACAGGACACTTGAGTGTCACTGTTAGCATGCACCCAGCTCTATGCTACAGCCAGAGGACTTGTGTAGACACGAAACGACACATGACAAAACACTTAAATGTTACCGTTACCATGCATCTAGCTCTATGCAACAGTTAATGACTTGTACAGCTTCTAATGAAAACTGTCCATGTGAATGCAGCACATCCACCAACTTGTGGACTCTTGCAAGGAAGTGCCCCTAACTGCACGAGTCCATCAAGATGCTCCCGAAAGGTAAGGGAAGTGTGCTCCAGTGTAGTCCACTCACCTCATGTCGTCCTTGGCCGTGCCCCAGTTGTGGGAGCCAGCGCCCTCCCGCTTGTCTTGGGGTTTCAAGGAGCTGCTGGAACAGAATAAGGCGTCATTTCAGCCCGTGAAGGCTCACATTAAGACGGGAATGCAGGGCTTGCTTTGTTCGGTCAAATGGTGCAACAAGGGTGCGACCACTACTATCAAAACAGCTGATAAGAGAATATTGAGCAAGCACAGATCCCCTTCATAAAGGTTAGACCTGACCAACAGTGGAAAAAATTAGTGGTTAGGGGGATGGTTTCTATCTGTGAGAACTTTAAAAAAAACAAGGTCTTGGTGTAGCTGACTTCCTGCCGAGTCACAGGAGCCACAAATATTCCTGAGTGGATCCCATTGATGTCAGTTAACCTGCAAGTGCTGGTGGCAAGGAAAAATTAAGATGGGCTGAAACGGGCTGGACTTTAAACTAGTTATCCTACCCACCTTGAGGTTTTCTCAGTGACTAAATCAAACAGTATGTTAGATGGAAAATGTGCGAAGCAAACTCAGTGCAGAAAAGTCAGACAGGTAGAAGTTTCTGCTCATCATCAATTAACTGCAATACTGCCCTCCACTGAATAACAATGGTACAGGACAGGACAGCAGGTGTTTAACCAACATGCCTCTGGGACTTAAATAACAATGGCTGTGTCTAATTTAAAGGGTGCAAGTACATAAAATCAACTGAAATATCCTAGAAGCAAACAACTACCCAAAGGTGAAACAGACAGCTCCTGAAAATAATGAAACTTGTGTAGCCCCGCCCTCCCCCCTAGTGGCACAGGGTGGCACAGGGTGCCCAACCCGAGGTTACCTGCACTATCACACCTCAATTTTATTAGTACCTCTTATCATTGCCGCTGTGGCGATCAAATTCCCTCTTGCCTCGGAAGTCGCGCCCGCCGGCGAATCCAACGCGCCCTCTTCCACGGCCTCGGCCCCGCCCTCTTTCGCCCCTGGGAGGCCTGTCGCCTTGCTCAGCTCCCCGGTACACTGGCCGGTCCGACTTCTCACTCCGGAACTCTACCGGGGCATGGTTTTCCTGGTTCTCGCTGGTGTCCTGATCTCGCCTTTCACGGGGCGGTCGTCGATTCTCCCCACCTTGGCGAGCGCTTGAACCTCGGTTCCCACCTCTTCCGCCTGACCTTCTAGGCTCCACAGGCTCTTGCCGCGTTTCTATGGAAGAACAGGTTTTTCAAATCAATCAAATTTGGATGGTTAAAAATGGTGTACATGTAACTAAGCACTTCAAAATAAATTGGAAATGTGCATAGAAGTAAACCTTTTAAAGCAACCTGCACATAATTCTCAATAAAACTCATCCCTGGGGCTTAAATTTCTCCAAATTGAAGCTTATTTTGATCTCAGAACTCTTCATGAAAAGCACAATCAGGGCTCTAACTTCAACTTTTTGGGGGCAATGCCATTTTTGCCTCACGAAATGGGACATTTTAAGGGGCAACAAGGCCAACATTCCTACAGAGGAAAGGCACTGAGGTCAAGGTGTAAAGTATTCTACAAATGAGCTAAGAAACTGAAAAAAAAAGAAAAATGGTGTTTGATGTACTTGGGCTATCATATTTATTTCACAACCCAGGAATTATTCCAACATTTCTTAAGACAAAACATCCTTTTACAGGATGGAACAGGTCGATTTCCTGACGAAGTATTTCTGAAATTCATGGAAAATTTATTCGTAAAAAAGAATTCCAGTGAATTTTTAAAAAGAAAACTTGTTTTGCTTCAATTTTGACACATCTGTTTCGACTGCACAGAGTGAGCCCACTAACCTTATCCCATCAGGCCACAAAGTTGACCAACCTATTACATTTTGCAAAAATCAATTATGCACGTGTAGTTGAGTCTACTGTGTGCATGCACATGCGATCAAAACCTGGGATAAGTATATAAACACTATAGACAAAGTAAACCTAGCCTTAGTTCTAGGGGCCCGTATCAGACACAGGGAAAAAAATCATTTACCAAGGGCAAAGATGGGACTTTAATCAACGGAGATTATGAATGATTGTGGGGGGAGGACTGAAATTTATCCCAAAAACAGCCCTAGGCGATCAAGGCCACAACCCCTTGTGATTTGTTTTTTTCGGACAAATATTTTTGGGGTCATGTTGAGGTCACTGCATAACCTTTCCTAGCAAACGCATTTCCGCTACTCCGACGACTGTTCCAGTACGTGTAATGTGTTATCCAATGAAAGGTCCCGTCCATGTGACGTATGAAACAAGAGACAAGCTGTAGTTGGTGAATGTCATCAGCACTCCATTCAACCAATAGAAATTTTTCTTTCATTTGCGAGCGTAAGGAAACTGAATAGAAAGAGACTGGAGCCACGTTGAATGTGATGAAGCCTGCCACACTGCTAACAACGATGAACCTTCACCTGAATGAGCTGGGCAGGCAGGCAGTCATGGACACAGCGTGGTAAGACAAATTCTCATAAATTTCACTTTTTAAATGGTAAATGTAAATGACCTCCCCTTCATGCCATACAAAATTGCATCCTGGGAGACCTTGCGAAATTACAGGGGTAGAATCGGTGTAACGGCATAGAAATGTCACGCAAACCGAAGTAGTGCCATGTTGGATATGACTGTTTACGTTGCTATCTGTAAGCTTTGCATAAACCTTACAGTTCTGGAGGTAAAGGCTTGGAGTAAAGGCTTGCACATGATGGAAGATTAGTTCACCTAGACTTGGCATGTACTAGGCAGAGTACATAGAGGAATAGAGGGCACTGTTCGATGGGCTTTGTATGTTTTTATCCGTGAATTCTTCACTACACTTAGGCCTATCTGAATTCTATACAAGTACAATTAATTAATTACTTGAATGTAATTCTTAATCGAGATGTGTACCGTGTGTGCATGTATCAAACCACTCACGCTAACACTAACCATAGAGAAAGGACACAGAAGGAGTTTAAACTGCCTGGGCTATACATGTGACATCTGGCCAATTACCGCTTTCTGGCATGCCTGGTATGTCCCGCCACGGGTCAACTCGTACCCGGGTTACCCCAAAATATGCACCAATTTAACTAGTACCCAGGTCAACTCACACCCGAGTTAACTCCTACCCAGGTTGGCGTGTACCCCCCAGGCCCAGTCAGCAGAGAATACGCAGTGCATAAATTAATTAGTTTTAATGTTTGCATTTATTGATCTATATTTAAGTATAAAGTTTGGATTTTTCGTCGAAAAATCCCCCAGTGTTTAGGAGTTCAGCTATCCTAGTATAGCTTATCATAGCTTGGCACCAAAGTATATGTATATTCAAGCTTTCGGAGTGGTACGAGAACGGCGACCAACCGGCTCTTTTCAGAGCCAACCCATCTTCAAAAAGAGATAGATCTGCCTGCTGCTTGTTTGATGATTAACAGAAGAACTTTTTTCCTTGTTGTTCTTTTTCTTTTGTACGAGTTGACCGGGATACGAGTTAACTAGGGTATGAGCTGACCCAAAATTGTATGTCCACAGCCAAAGAGCAGCGAGTGCTTGCCACGTACCATCTGTTTCACAACCACAAAATCCCTTTATATGCTTTGTATCGCTGACGCAATTTTTGCTTGTAATCTGCATCCTTAAAACTTTGTGTACTGAGGTATAGGAAATTGAATATTCATGCATTTGTGGGTGCATGGTATATCACGACAACATCAAATTTAATGCTTGCGCAGTTGCTTGTATTATGCAGTGTGCCCGAAATTAGATGTGCAGTCATTGCATTAATGTAAGCTTTCTCCTGGAGTTATTTTGGCAATAAATTGCCCCGTTGTTCGCAAGATTTTGTTTTGTTTGAATAATTTTTATTATGGCATTTGCATAAAAGTGTATTTTTATGAGATTTCATGATCACTCCCTGTGATGTAATAGCGCAGTTTGCTCTTTATGAACTTAGCTTTCTAGCAGCAGTCAACATTTTGTTGGTCAATCTTAGTCAAGTTTGTATCAAGTCTTTGAAACTAGTGATGTCATGGATGTATCGGAGGGAGGGGAAGAAAATTACAAACTTTGCATGGATAACGGAACAGTGTATCAAAATCAAAAAAGATTACTCACAATGGCAAAAGCAGGTCTAATATCAGGGATTTTTCTTTATTTCCTGGCGACAGCCATAATTTATAATTTTTTATTGCAAGCAAAACACAACAAGTAATAATATTAGCCTACTGCTAGGCCCTATACTGGCCTTGCTTGTCCAGCTAAGATGCAGGCAGTACTCGGGCATTTTTGGAATGTTTTCTATTATTCTTCTTACTCAGCAGCGTCGATCACTGAACACTTTGAATTGCCAGAGTTCCAACTCCTGTGTCCTATGCATTTATCGTACTCATGGTTTAAATATGGCGGCTTCCAGTACATGTGACTGCCAACAGCGCTCGCAATATCACATTAAATCAGACGCTCTGTACCATATTTATGCACAGAAATGATGGAAAATCAACAAAGATAAGGCAGATCGTCAAGATTAGTTTACCTTCAGCTTTAGGCTTCTGTTGTGGCTCAGGTTCTTTCTTCTCCGCCTCAGCCTTCTTTTTCCCCTCGCTCTTCTTTTTCTTGTCCTTCTTCTGTGATTTTGTTTCGGTCGGAAGAATCTCCAAGGGATCTCCGACCATATCCATGTCCAGGTAGAACCTGTTTTTCACTTGTACGGAATATTGGGAATCCATTTTTGTCGATTTCTTCGACAAAATAGAGGATGGCAATGGATTCTTTTCGTTATAAATTCAGTCGCATTTGTGCTGGTAATGTTGGGCCCCGTCCAATATGGCGAAATGGAAGACTAACATGCGATTTTGCATAGCGCTAGCGCGAAAGCACGCATTCAGTCAACGCAGCGCTGGTAACCGTTTTACCAAGGGATATCCTGATGTGGGCAGGGGACAGTACCAGCCAATATTACAGGGACCAAAATATACATGAGGGCGCTGAATTTTTAATGTAGCTGCGATTCGAACTTTTCGTGTGCATGTAGTGTGTCCACTCCAACTTAAGGAACAATCTTCAACACAAGCAATCACTCTCAAGACAGGATTTTCGAAAATTTGTTTATTTGTTTAGTGTATTTGACCCATCTTTAACGCCGAACGACACCTAGGTATAGTCTGTTCACCATTTCTTTTAATTGCACGAGTTTACCATGAATACCGGAATTGCCTTATATGGGCAAAATGACGCTGGACCGACACTCAATCGATACGCACATGTGTACATGTACGTGGTGTACATGTACAGTACATGTATGCTAGCTAGTGCATACATGTATATGGGCCCGCTCTGTTTTTAGTGTTGTTTGAAACTTTGAGTTTTGTTTTAAATACCGACTAAATCTGTTTTTCCAATTTTTTAATCAAGCAGCCACGTTCACGTTCTTCATAATGCACACGCTTGCAGTGTAAGTTGTAGTGCCTTCACTTGTTAGTTATCCAAGTGATAATCTCCTATCTGAGAAACTCGGCTAATTTTTCAGCATGAACATCGTTCTTCAGGATTGTGTTTGAAAAGGAGAGAGTCAAGAGTGGTTCCAGAGGCCAACTTTTTTGGGTTAATATTGGTTGCGTTTTGGGTGATTTGGAAATGAAATCTTTATGGCCTCTCTGAAAAGTGAGCCTAAATTTGGGGGCTTTTACCCATTTTTGGAAGGAAGGGAAATGAAATGCCCCCTCCCCAAAACGGCCTTTCTCTCGTTCTTGTTTTTTACGCTCTCCTTTTTTCGGGGGCACCCCTTCTTCCACCAATTTGTTGACAGAATTGGCCTCCAGCACTCAATGGGCCAAAGACCTGGGGGAGCTCCTCTGCTCTGGTGCGGCTAACCATAGATCCTTCAGCCAGGTCTTTGACACCATGGAGGAAGTACACACAGAAACGCCCACGACCGCCAAACCACGGACGTATATAAAAAAGACCTGAACTTGCAACGCCTTTGTATGAAGAAGAAGAAGCCGACCAGCAGCCATTTTACTGAGCCGAATACAAGTGTGGGGGTTGGCTCCCTTCTATTGACGTTAGGAAGAACAAAGGCGGCAACGCCAGGAAAGCTTTGTATTCGGCTCGGTAAAATGGCCGCAAGTAGATTCAATGATCTCTATAAGCTGATTAAGGGCATTGCGATCCCAGATTTTATTAAACACGTCTGTGCGCCAAACTCAAAACTAACGGCGCCCTTTAAACTATCGGGATGGAAATCCTACTTACGTACTGAACAGGCTGATGCGCATACAACGCACAACCGTAGGAAAAAAGTTAGATTTGTTGGCTGGCGCGCGCCTTGCGGTTTACCCATGGTGCAATGCGGTTTAAAGGCGCCAAATTCATCCGTGCCGTTGGCGCGATATCGTTGCATGATAAAGAGGTTCCATTAGCAGCGTGATAACAAAGTCGAGCACCATGGCTTCTGTTTTGACAAATTCTCCTCAGAAAATCTGCCCCAATGCAATCATCCGATCACCTGTTAGGCCACTGCAACTACCTCGGAGTCCTGTGAGCCCCGGTTTGGCTGAATTCTACCCGTGGAAATGGTCAGAGAGCGCTCGGAACGTTCAACTGAGTCCGGGCAGTTCCTGTGGGTCACCAGGATCGGAGCGCGGCTTCACTCCCCGCCAAAGCAGCGGACCCATCCCAAGCCCAAGAGGCCGACCGCGCGCAGAGGTCATTCCGGAACTACAGAAAGAAGGCTCGACATCTGGGCATGGGATCAGATGTAAGATATGCCAGAGGGTGTTTCCTCGAGAAAAGTCACTGCAAGCTCACATCAGGACACACACGGGTAGGAAAGCAATGGTCTTTGTTACGCCCCAATACCATAGCATAAGTCCCACCTTCAGTTGGGACAGTCCCAACTGTAGTGCTGCAGTTGGGCTGGCCCAACTATTGTTGACCCATGTCTGTGGGAAATGTTTCAACATTATCCAAGTCAATGTGTCTCACAGTGGCACTTCATCTGTTCATCTAGCCTGAGTATGAGTAGGGGGCCTAGGCCTATGACTGATGACATGACATTTGTAAACAATGGGTGCGTTCGATTAGCTTACACGTTTAAGTCAAATTTACACGAGAGTGTTCGTTTAGCCATCACGTGATCCTCGTGCTTGCCCTGATGTCAGCCACTACTACCCCAGCTGGCGGGCGGGTCTCTGGAGGTTGCCCGAGTATAATGACGTCATGGATGGACTGTTCGTGCATGGACGTACATGATGGAACGTGGCAGTGACTTGACCTTTTTCCCAGAATGCCTTGGCGATTACACTGCAGTGTTCGATTACCCTCATTTTGAGGCTTCCCTTGCTTGCAACACTGGTGTGTTCAGGGAAGCTAATCGAACGCACCCAATATCATAAATATGACTTTGGCATATGCTGGGCACATCAACTGTAGTACTTTAGTTGGGACGGGCCCAACTATAGTTGGGACTGATGCTATAGTTGGGGCGTAACATCTTTAATGAAGTGATTTTTGTCGTGATTTAAAGTCGAGACTGACTATGTGTTGGCACTCTAATGGCAGTTTTAATTTGGCTAGACCACCCAAACAGACACGACAGTTTCACCATCTTTTCCTTCCTCCATGGTTCGACAATGAGAATTCTGTCGTAGAATATCAACATGAAATTAAATGATCCCCTAAACATGATCTGGCTATAATTGTATGAAAACTTCACGGCAGCCAGTGCATCCATCATAATCATGCCTCATGGAGGTGTAAAAAGGACGATGAAGTAGAAATATAATTGTAACTTGTATTTTTAATCTGTCATGTGTGTGCACATTGTCTACAGATCCATTCTTTGATTCCATTCAAAACAAAGGAAAATAAATAACCCTACTGCATTTTCACAATACATACCTACAATCAAGCCGATGTAAGTAATTCATATAATTGCCTGTTTATCATGTTCATGAACACTCAAAGATTCCAATAATAATGTTATTTCAATGTCTTTTTTCTTATAGGAGAACGACCATTTAAGTGTGATTACCCAAACTGCAGCCGAGCCTTTGTACAGAGTGGTCAGCTCAAGACACACCAGCGTTTGCATACTGGGGAAAAACCGTTCTACTGCCCTGCTAAAGGTGTGCATTCTTTGATTGAAAGTTTGCCTGAAAGTGTTTTAATTAAATCCTCGAACAAGAATTCTTAGTTTAAAAGTATAAATTTTAAGTTTTCAAATGAACTTGACTTTGGAAAATCTGTCACAGGGATGCAAAGAACTGTGTCAGTCAAATGAAAGAAATTTCTGAAAGAATTACCATCTTGGGTCTTTGTCTTGTAAATATTTCACTTTGGATGTGGATTTGCATCAAATTCCTTGAAAAGAATAATATGCTTCTACACTTTTTCTGGGGGAATCTTACAGTGATTAAGTTGTTGAAGAAATGAATCAACACAACCAGTGCATTGTTCTGTTTTGTTTGACAAAATCTTTTGCCTCCCCCCCGCAGGTTGCAGGAGCCGCTTTACACACGCCAACAGGCACTGCCCAGATCATCCTTATCTCACGCTCCAACGAGAATCGACCGAAACTCTGCTGGAGGAGATCTTGAGCAATGATGAAAACAGCGAAGACGTGAACAGGTGGCTACAAAGGTTAGTCCAGATCAGATGCCACCGTTCAACAATGTGGCGTAGGTTGCTACCAGACACTGTACCCAAACGTTTTGGCTACGGCTTACTGTGGCAGATAAGTCTGTGGGAAGTGGCTTCCATGGCATGTGTGGCCATAGGCAAATTTTTTTGACTTGGTCCAAGTCAGATTCACTGCTTGATAATTCACACGCTTTCCAACATCTGCAAAGTAAGCACTGCTTTTGATGGCAAATGTCACGGTCACAGCTTTATTGCAGCACTGAAGTAGCCAGTGCATTTTACATATAATTTCATCTAATATAAAACATCGACAAAATTATGTTGCATACGTGTGTGTGTGAGACCTAGTACATGAAACCCTCCACCTCTCCCTGAGTTCGGGTTCCTGTGGGTTACTTTTGAGCTGGAGAACTACTTGTAAATCTTACACAGTGGAAATAGGAACTATAAATGTTTTAATCCAAGTTAAAATGTTAAAACATGTTACCAAATTGAAGAACAGAAGCATGATGTAATTCAAATGAAAAATCTACTTGCCGGGCTATTCTTGTAGCTCAGTCCCTCACAAAGCCTGTGAAAGCTCATCACAACTCATTCAGTCTCAATTCTCACGTCACAAGCTACTCAAAAGAATACATTCCTCTGCCATCAGTAAGTGCTCGCCACTTGGACCTGTGATGGAGGTACTGCAAAGGACACTTTTTGCTTTTTTGCCCAGGTACGTGGAAAACTACCGAGAGAGGCTTGAGACCAAGACGCAAGAGCAGGCCAAGAGGAAGCGCGAGCAAGAGCTGCTGGCCGAGAACGGGAGCACCCCGAAGCGCCCTCGTGCCTCAGCCCGCCGGCGGCTACAGGAGCAGCGAGAGAAGATGCTGGGAGCGATGGCGCTGATGGAACTGGCCCAGAAACTACCAGCGGATTCTCCCAGATAGCCATCTTGTTCTATGACATTTTGTACATAATTTGGATGTATGTTTTTTTTTTCTCAGAGAATCATGGCTTTAAGCAAATAAAGAGAACCAATATGTGGTTTCATCAGCGTAAATTGAACGATTGTAGCATTCATCAAGATGGCAAGTTGGCTTTGTAGGATTTTTTTCTGGAAAGACCGTTATTTCATTGGTGAGGAAATGTATATGACATCTCCGGAAGAGTTTGAAAAGATTAACAGCTGATTTGCTATTCTTTACAAATTGTTTATACTGTATATATATAAACTGGCTACTGCTAGCCTGTATCTAGTTGTCTGAAATGCATTGAAGAGTAAAAGACTGCTTATATATAAAACAACTTCAGTCATTTTTATCCCCTTTGTACATTTTATGTGTATTATATAAATAGACGGTTGAGAATTTTATTTCTCAAGTGTGCTTGTTTAGACTTTACAAAAATTAATTATGTTGCATTTACTTTTTTTTTTCATAACAGCCAAATGTAAATAAATGACCTAAGTTAGAATTTTTAATTCTTACATTGGCTAAATTTGGTTTGGTTTTTAGACAGGACGATAAAATTTACTGCACTAAAGTTGCTTTTCAACATAACAAGGAATTTCAACCACCAGGATAAAAGAATGGCCTGGAACAGGTCGGTTTTAGTTACTTAAATTCCAAAACATTGAAAGTGCGACAATCACTGCTATTAAATAAACAGATGGTTAAGGATGGATGTAAAATGTAAGGCCTCCATACGAATGCTTTTACATATACAGATGTGTTGGAGAGGTGTTTTGATTATTTATTGTTAATTTTTCTTTCTGTAGCTGTTGAATTATCTGAAAGCATCTTTTGTTTTAATACAATTTAAAGCAATTCTTTGCCAAGAGAAATGAACAGAATTTGATTGGTGTTTTTCAAATCACTGAAAGCCTCTGTGCAAAGATAGGAGATGGAACATTGAGATGGAACATTTGTACCCAGACAGTGACTTCTGTAGGAGGTTGCATGCAATCTGCTCATGCTGGTTGGTGCTTATGCAGTGCAGGGCAAAGTGTGTGTGTGTGTGACTAACGAGAGACTTTGAGACCCTGGTGGCAGCAGACATGCAGGCCCTTTTTCACAGTATTGCCTGTGCTCAGAATTGCTGCAAAGGACCAGTGTGTTTGCCGCTACCAAGCATCTCAAAGTTTCCCATTTTCATTAGTTTGCATAACCCTTACATAGGCTCATACTGTACCAGCCCTCTCTCTCTAAGGGGTACTTGTCCCCAAACCAGATACTAATTTCTGCGGCTTCTTGAAGTCCACAGTAAAGCAGTGGAATCTTCTTGGTCTGTATGCTGGACACTAAATGTACATCACACGCATTGAACGAGGACGCACCCCTTTACAGGTTTCAATATTTTAATTTACTTAAAACAATGAACGAACAACTTTAATAAACAAACTGTAGAAACTCTCATGAGGGTTGTTTATCTGCACACACACCTGGTCAGAAATAATATTTACTTTACCCTCCTAAGCCCATCATTATGAGCAGAATTTTTAAAGTAAATTGAGTACATGTACTTTGAGTACCTTTGGTTACAAAAACAATACCCTTTCAAATTGTAAACCATTTTTCAGTGTAAAAAAATTTCATTTGGTGTGATTTTCGATTCTACCAACTAAAATCTGAAACTGGATAATCAGACGTGTATGAAATTAAAGTACACAGAGATAAAAACTTTTATGCTTCGTCTCTTTTCTGCCAAACAGCACAAGTTTGCTTTGTATATCGGCTGAAATGGAATGAAAAAAACCAACAATCTTCAAGTTGAAAATCAGTTCCCCCAAAAAGGGTTGGGAAAAAATGGACATTTTAACTAAAGGGTTTAAAAATGAGGGAAAGAAATCTGTTAAACTTGCGAAAATAAGTTGGTTTATTTTTTTAAAAATCACATTACTTTTTCCCTTATTTTGGCATTATTGACTTATTAAGTATGGCTCATAAAAATGAGCTGATCTACCTTGGTCACACCTGATGGTCAGAGCAGACTGTCATTAAAGCTTGGAGATATCCTAATAGTTCTGAAACAAATGCACCAATTAAAAATCGAGCAATCTCAACGAACCACTGATTAAAAAAAACACTTATCTCAAATCATCAAACACTGATGTTTCTGCAACAGGCTGAAGGCACCCTTCAGAGCAAAATGTAAACCTTTTCTAGAAAAAAAAGGGTTGTAGGCAACCCTCCCAAAAATGGGTACATGTATTCTAAAATAGAAGTTTTAATAACCTCACTCCCCTCTGCTTCTGAAGTCAGTATTTTTGTATCTTGGGAGTGCAATCGTCAAGCCAACACTTGAAAAGCAAGTACAAGATTGCAGAAAATGTAAATACAGTCTGATTTTTACAGAACTGCAGGGAATAGGCATACCAATTCCATTTTTCCCCATGGTATAAAAGAAACATTTTGTGCGTTTTCACTGTTAAACTATTTCAAACCAAGAAATTCTAAGGGTACATTACACGGAGCTAAGCACAGAAAACACATATTCTCAACCTCAAAACTTACCAGCTAATACACCATGCATAGTATATTTCATGCGATTGGTTCACTGTTGATAATTGCTTAGAACGTAAACGTGCTAAACAACATCTTTTTCTGCCTAGCTGAACCTGGAACCCCCTCCCTGGTTCCTATGTGGTTTGGGGGAAATCTTGCTAACTCTGCCTCCGAGTCACCAATTACAAATGGACGTGTGGGGTGCAAGTTTTTATAATCAACATATTGCATAGACTAGTCCAATCAAATAGAAGTATTTTTGCTACATTTACTGGTTTTTTTTTTTAGCTCATATATCAGATATTTTGTTTGGTTTATAAAACGTTCACTCCATCTTCTTTAACAACATAAACATTTCTATATTTGTGAATAAAAACAAATACCACAACAATTATGTACAAACACCTCGAATCCTGCAAGCGGGCGGGCACATCAACACCATCCATATATATTTACTGGTATCTTTTTTCTTTTTTAAATAAACTTTTAAAATATCAACAGTGAAGAATATCTACAAGTACATATATAAATCAACATTTCTTTGTGAATAAACGCCTGCTTTTATCTACATTATCGTACACAAATGTTCCACCTCCAAGCGCAAGGAGGCAAGATACTCTAATCAACTCAAATGCCAACTTTGAAAATAACCTTATCTATTTATCATACAAGAATCTTCCAGAAAACAAGTTCAAACTCCTTCCGTCGAGTCTCATTCCAAACCAGGTGCATACAATAGGGAAAGGTTATGCACGCATCACTCTCCCAGGGAAATCAACTGCAAAAAAAAAAAAGATGCAAACCTTGCGGTCTGTAAGGTTAAAATGGATAGAAGTAATTCTTAATAAAACAAGGATTACAAGCGTCAATCTGCTTTTTACAGCCTTACACCCACCCACTTTGGTGTAATATCAACATTGATTAGACTGAAATAAACACAGAATACACCTTCACTATCAAAGATGCATCCATAATAGTACAAACACTAATAAAGATTCCAAATATAAATATAAATTAAGATTCAAAGTACTTTAATGCACAAAACAGAGAATTTATTAAAAATTTAAATAATAAAAGATTTATTCAAGTATAAAGTGCTTTTTATATTCTATGATTAAATGTGGTTACAGTTCTATCTCAACTGTTGTTAAATATTTTTTTATGAACTGATAACTAGCCTTGTTAATATTGCAAATGACTTTCATTTCAGGGGAAATAAAAGAATAATTTGGGTGAGCAAGAATTGATTAAAATGAAACATTCATAGACTATCTTTCTTAAACTAAGCCTCCGATATTTGATCACTCCTTTTCAACAACTTGAAAAGTTTTCAAATATTACTATTTGGAAGCCTGTTGACTGCGAAAATTCATTCCAACTTTTAGTTAAAACAATTGCAAAGATAACTAACAATAGCAAAGGGATCGGATAGACATATCAGTGTTTTTTGCTGCAAAATAAATGAAGGAAAACACTCATAGTGTTAAAAGCAGTAAAATTCTTTACTTCAAATACTCTATTACTGCCAGTTTATACTCTGCTTTAAACTATCTTCCATTCCACAACGTCATCAGGCTGCAGTAATGCCAATTTGCTATATTCTAGTTTAACGTTCAAACCCGTTTTAGTTTGCTGCAGTTGGACTGTGAAGGAAAGATTTTCCAAAAAAAGGGAAAAGAAAAGAAACTAGACTAAAACCACAACCTGCCATATCTAGATGGGCTAGTATTTCTATTTTTTCTTCAGTTAACATCACAGATTTCATCAACCTCCGTTGCTCCCACATGTGCACATACTGCTGATTTTCATGTCTATAACATGCTCAAAGTCATCAACGCCACCTCACATTACACATTTTAAATATGAAAACCTGGATTTTTTAATCCCCAGATTTATTCTTGCAATTTAACTTTGCATTTCTTTTTCAAATGAAGCTGTAAACAATGAATAAAAGCTTCTCTCTCACCTATATACCCTGTCTGTATTTGCTTCATACTTTTGTAGAAACATTCAGTAAAAACTCAGTGCTGTGATCAATATAGGGAATAGAAGTGCTTCATTATAAAAACCAAATATAATTTAAGGAATAGAAATTAGGTGGTAAATCTACGTTTCTAATGAAATGAACCTAAAACCTGGAGATAAAGGGTTGGACATGTTCAAAGCAAGATTTGGTCACTTTTAGACGATCATGGATCCCATAGAATGAAAGGTGACAGCCCGCTAGTACTACCCCGATTTGCACAGACTTCCTTGCTTTTTTTTAAGATGTCAATTTGGTCAGAAGCGTTTGGTCTTTCAAGATTTCTTGCACCCATTTTGTTACTTTTGGTCTGATCTTGACTGAAGTGGGTTTGGCATTCAAGGATTAAATTTTCTTTTAAACAAAAAAAAAACTATTTCTTATCTCTTCTTTTGGTATACTTTTTCCTTTTTTGGTTGGCATTTGTAAATATTTGGTCAGTTGCGAGGGGAAAGGAAATTAAGAGGAAAAGAACGACAATAAAAAATTTTGTGCCAAGGCTTGGGAGCTCTATACAGGGCTAATAATACTTTCGAAAAAATAAAATGAAATTCCAATGAATAGAACATTTCAACACAAATCCAAATGGTAAGATAATCTCAAAATTTGTCTCCAGATAACCTACAGATTATGCAATGCTAGAGTGCTTATTTTAAATTCAAGTACTGCACTTAGTTCACATGTGTATACATTTTGCCTACTTATTAGTCATACAGTGTGAATTTCAAAGTACTATCTCCAATTCTCATTTGGCACATACACATTAACTTTTCAGTTATCTCGACTGTACATTTCCAGTATTTTCCTCTGCAAATAGCGGCCAGTACAAAGTGAATTGTCTTCATATCCATTCTTCCTTTTACAACGAAACTGGAATGGTGAGAAGATTGTCAAAACTGTTAAAAGGGCTTCCTGCAAAAGTCAAGTTAACATGCATATGCTGTGATTTCAAAATAAAATGTTCTGTCAGTGTATCTTAAAGGTACCATTGATGAGAGGAGTTTGCGCAGTACAATGAAGGATTTTTGCTACATTTTTGTAGCTGTAATCTTTCTTCAGGCTCCATGGGAATTTTATATGTTGCTTTTTTGGCCTGTTGACAAAAGCCTATTGGATTTTCATGTCGCAAGCATGCACCAACTTTTCCACAGAATGTGTACAAACTTTGGGCATATAAGTAGCATTTACACACTACTGACTACAGGGTGATCTTATGTGCAAAGTCACTTGAATCCTGTACGTCAAAATTAACAAGCTCATTAGGAGCTACTGTACTGTGATATCAGATTCAATAGTCATTAGTTGTTGTGATCAGGCATCGGTCTGCGGAAAACTGTTCAAGAAGCAAACACGGCTTCTTAGAAATGAAATCTGGTTTATTGACCTCCCTTTTAAAGAGAAACTCTTAATTCTCCACTGCACCTTCTTGCTCAATGAAACAAAAAAGTAAAAAAACAAAAGCCTTGCAGAATGGAGTGGAGGGACTTGGCAATACAGACTTTCAGATCTTAATTGCAGACACTTCACTGGTCAGGAACCAAATGTAAGAGTCAAATGATATCAGTCACAACTCTCAATAAAGAGACCAATAAAAGCCAGGAATGGCCGAAGCAACCCCTTCACACATGGACACTAACTGCACTTCCCCCCTCAGTTCGGCATCGCCTCTGGGTGCTAGTTCCATTTCCGGTCAGTGTTGATGCCAAGCGCTGTGCAGACGGATGCCTATGGTCCAGCCTGTGATGTGCCATCAGTGACTTCTGTCCAGTGCATCCAAGTACTTGGTGTGAATGACCTTAGGAACCAGCCTGTGCCTACAATCAATCCCAGCAGAAAATGATGAATGGATGAACATGAATCTCAAATCACTACTTTTCCATGTTTGATTTTTGTGTTCATTCATAACTGACATTGACTTTGTAGTTTGAAATGAGGAATCCTTTCTGAGTAGAACAAGACCAGGCAAGTCTATGTTAAAGTCAATCCTTGCATCTCAGCCACGCCCCTAAATTCAACTAAGCCACATCCATATCCTCAATGTGGAATAATTCTTTAGAGGGAAGCGGGAAAGTAGTTTGTCGAATGCGTTCTTATTTGCTTTCATTTTTCTAATTTTTAGGGAACTGCATGTTCCTAAAATGAAATTTTTTCACTTTCCTTTCTGATTATTCCAAAAATTTCAGGTTGTTGGCAGCAATATTTAAACCCTTTCTTCCTGTCTCTCTCATTTAAAAAGTCTCAAAAATTAAAAAGATGTTTTAAGTATCCCTTCTCATTACTCCAAAATTTCAAAGTGTGGGGAGCATGTTGAAAAGCTTGTCTTGCTTTTTAAAAATTAATTCTCAACAATTAAAAAAAAAATTCCCCCTCCCCCAAAAAGTAGATCTGGAACCGTTTTTGTTGGCCTTACCTGATCGGTAGGAAGAACATGATGAGTAAGGGGAAGACCATTTTGAGGTAGGGCCAGGGAGAAAAGCCAAAGCCACAAAGGCAGGCCAGCTGTAGCAGCTGGGTGAAGGTGAAGATGTGCATCTTGCGTTGTGGCACTCGCCGGACGTAGTGATTCGGTGGGTAGGCGGCCTGCAGGAGGGGAAGGCCGGGATGTAGAGAGAATTGACGTGAAGTGGGTTTCATTTGAAAGTACCAAGCAAAGTAGTCACAGATTTCATTTGGAAAGATTCTAGAACTGCAAGAACCTTAACATGGAGAACCAAGGAGCCGAGTTCTCCCTCAAACAAAACTGAAGCTGAAAATGAACTCCCAAAAAATGTAGAGACGAATTTAACAATGCTGCTAGGTTTGGGGACAAATTGAAATTCTTTGCTCAACACTAACAGCTCAGAATATCTCAGTAGTCTATAACTTTGGCACACTCTCCCTCCAGGGCTTTTTGGGAATTTCATCAAGGAAATGTTTGCTTCAGAAGCTTGTGAAAAACAAAGGAGAGAGGATTGTAGAAAGACTTGTGCAAGCTTTCTCACACCCTGAAAGACCTGTCATGCTGGCATTTTTTTCTCACTGACACCCTGGAATGCTTCTACCCCATAAACTATGATACCAAAAGATTTTTCAGCTTTTCTTCAACAAAATGAATGTCTTGAAGATTCCAGAGCAGGCTCAACTGTTTTCTTTCTCACCTTCTGAAAAAATTTACAGTAACCTGAAAGCAAAAGGTTTACTTCCAAAGTAAGGTGCTTGGGAGAAACAGAATGTTGTGGAATGTTTGTAAGCGTCTTGCCGCTTCCTTCTTCCATTTCAAAAAGTGTGGCACAACGTTTCTTGTAAGTAAATTGATTACAAAAGTCATTCTGAAAACCTCACAAACAAACTTAGAAGTTAGCAGCGATACCTGTTCTGTGATCAGAAGCATGGTGCGTTCAAATAACTGGTTGTCATCCAGCGCCGTGCAGGCCATGTAGAGAAAGAGGCCGTACAAGACGGCATTGGGGATGTACTGAAGGGGAACCGGCAGCATGAATACCGACAGGCCGATCATGATGTGGGACAGGAGGATGGTCAGTCGAGTCTCTCGTACTCGCACAATGCTGCAAAGCAAAGAAGTGGTATAAAGTGGGTTGATTGATTGACCGACTGATTGAATGCACAATCATGGATTGGGATGGCAGTATACGTAGATAAGTCTCATACACTCTCACAATGCTGCAAAACAAACAATTGATAGAACGTGGGTTGATTGATCAACTGATTGAATGCACAATCATGGATTGGGATGGCAGTATGGATCTTTAAGTCTCACACTAGAGAGGGATGATCGGATTTGTGCTTCAAGCATTTCCAGGTGCGCTTCTGCAATGTAGATTGGAGATTGACTGATGAAGTAATTTTTGGTCAATCTATCAGCAGTAAAAGCAATCATGACATAGCCAAGGAAAACACATCTCAAAGCGTCTCACAATTCTGCCGAGAAAGGATAACGTTTGGAGTGGCTGGTCTTCATTTCTATCAGCTCAATGGTCCTGCGCGAAGGGGCTGATAACTTTATTTGATGTCAACAAAGAAGTGCATAATGTCTGTAAGCCATATCAAACTGTGTCCTTCAGTTGCAGCTACATCCAAAACTAACAGGCATGCCAATGAGAGCTCAGTAGTGGCTTGTAACTCAGTCCTGACAACAGCCAGCTGCATCAGCCGCAGTCACATTGACCCTCATGGCTAGGCTGCACAGCGCCCTCCACAGTTCAGGCAAAGTCCATTAGATGTTTACCTTCCCTTATAATGATCAACCTCCCCTAGATTATGTCCAAATGGCTATGACTACGGCTGGCAATGATGTATGCTCCTAATGTGAAGCCACTAATGTCTAGCGGCTACATTCATATATCCATTACTGTGTGTATTGAAGCCAGCCAGCTCATTCAGCCTTCAGCCTCTTCCATCTTCCGGCACTCTAACTCACATGTGATGGACATGCCCCTGATCCACTCTCTCCTCTTTGTCTGCCAGGGCCTTGACGTGGAGCGGGGAGTGGGGTAGGGCACCGTGGAGCCAGGGCAGGCCAAACATGGACAGCACGCAGTTCAGCATAGCCACCACCAACAGGTCGAGGTGGTAAGCGGAGCCCTTCTTCAGCCTGAGCAATGGAGGAAGAGACAAACCTTCAAACATTGAGTTTTACAGGAAAGTTAACATAAAGCTAAATTGTGAATCAATTTGAAGGTTTGCATGGTGTACGTGGCAAAATTGCCCATACCATTAGGACTACCTACTTGTTTCCAGGGCTGTTGACCATAGCACCGGTGATGTTCTGATCCATGAAGAACAACAGTGACAGACAGAATCCTAGTCCCATGGAGCCCACAATCATGTAGATGTTGACCTCCTCTAAGGACACCAGCCGGAAGAAGTCACCATCTTGGTAAGGAAACTTCTCCACTGCATGGGAAAAGTTACCAGAATTCATTAAAACACATCTGGACAGAGGAAGCTTTTCCACTGCATGGAGAAAGTAAAACACATGTGGAAGCAAACACATTTCTGCTGCATGGTATAAGTTACCAGAATTCAGAAAAACCCATTTGGGAAGAGGAAGCTTTTCCACTCCATGAGAAAAGTAAATTACATCTGAAAAAAGGAAACTTTTCTTATTGATGGGAAAATCAATAACAATGAGGAAGTATTTCATCCATAATGGAAAAAAATAAGATACTAAGGACAGCTAACATTCTAACTGGGAAATTTTTCCAATAAACGGAGGAAATGCAAAGGGAAAAAACAATTGTGAAGTATACTCTCTTGATGAGAAATGTGTTCCACTGAGTGGAAAGATATAAAGGTAAAAAAATTGTCTATTTTTAATCATAAATTTCTCCACTGAAGAAAATGATGTCTCTAAATCTTTTACATTAACTTGGAATTGTAAAATTTTCTTTAGCAAAGCAAAGCAAGTCTGGTCTGTGCCAATTTGGCTCATCAGGCTGGTGTTTATCTCCGGTTTCCTTGGCGTGAAACGACTGAGAACATTTCTATTCCCTCCTGGATGGGAAGCCAGTCCATTGCCAGGTTGCTTCCCCAGCTAATGCTGGTAACCGTTTGTACTCCTGGAGAGGGGCAAGCAGGGGTGAAGTGGCTTGCCGAGGGCCACAACATACTGCCTGCAGCTGGATTCGAACCTCCAACCCTATGACTGGAAACCACAGATCTTGTCCACATGCCCCCTTTTTTCTTCAAGCACAGACGCTTGATTCTGCACATGTGCTCCACCATGGCCTACTCATCTTACTAAAGTGATACTGAAATTCAAAATTTATCTTCAAAGACAAACAAAACCCCAAACTAACAACAATACTGTCGTTGTTTTCTGGTTGGGGCATTTCTACCTTTGTATCTTGACGCATGCACGAGGCATTAAGTTTGTACAGATTTTAGGAAGGGAATACTTGGCTACTCACACTGGATGTCATTGAATAGATATGATCCAACAAATGACATGGTGACGACACTGACCGGTAATGCATAGTCTGCTAGCGCCTCCCTCTTACTTGCATCCAGAAATGGGCTGCCGAGAAAGAAAACAATGCCATGGTAGACCTTATCATAGGTGTTGAGCTGAATTATTGGTTCACAGAAACACTTCTCCAGGAGGATATACTGGGTGATCTTATGCATTGGGAAAGACTTCTGCGGTGATTCAGTTTTCTGCAGGCAAAAGCAGCAGGAAGGGCATGAGAAATATCAGCCCGAAATGACTTTTCAAATAATGTTTGCAAGCATTAGCAGTGGTTAGTAATATGTACAAGCATCTTTACAATGTGAAGGAGTTGGTGACCAATAGATCCTTGGAGTTCGAACTCGATATAAAGTCACTGTTTTGCTAGATGAGCAGTGAACTAAATTCTATTGATCTGAAGAAGGATGTATTTTTAATTTCATTCAAAAATTATATGCCTAAGGGCTGTTTCAGTGTTTCAATACAAAGCCACAATAGAAAGGAAGAATACGTCCAATGAAGTCCCACAAGAAGTCTGATCACTGCCTGCCCTCTTTTCTCAGGTCTAGTCCCCAACCTGTGCAGGTGCCTCACCTTTTGGTGAAACTGTGCAGCGTGACCCCGACCCAGAGGGTGCCAAACATCAGGATGAGATACACAAGGGAGTTCTCCCGCAGACAGGGCTGGATGCTCAGCATCTGGGTGATGTTACTGCTGTTGGAGTCGTTCAGTGGCAGGTACTCCAAGAGATCCATGTCCATCTGCTGGATCTGGTTGCATCCATCCGATATGTAGTTCTTCTTGAAGTCTGCCAAAGGAGAGCGCCGGGCAAGATCAGCAAGATCATCCAGACGTGTTGGAATTGAGACTCTCCTGCTCAAATGCTCGGAGATGTTTTTTCTTTACCAAACTTGAGGGTTTGATTCCGGCTTTGGTTTAGGAATTTTTCAATAATTTGACTCGTTGGATTTGAGACTCTCCTGCCACTGCACTTGCAGATATTTGTAAACCAAAATTTGAGTTTGATTCTGGCCTTCGTTTTAGGTGATTTCCAAGTCCTTTGACTCGGGTTTAACCCCACCTATACGTGAGTCACTATTTTACTTTTCTTAGACTGATTGGTTAGGCTTTGAAGGTTTCTTAGGAAGTCTTAAACAGAAGTGAAGCAGTTTGAAACTGTTGATGGTTATATATCGATGGACAAAGTACACTAACGAAACGTTGTCTTGTTCCAAATCAGTTGATACTTTTATAGATTTTCCTGAAGTTTGCAGATTTGTGTTTTGTCAATTGTTCAAGGTTTTTGTGAGGATGTTTATTTGCTGTTTTGTAGCATTGGTATCATGAGCTAAGAACGGTCCTTAATCAGAATGTCCACCCAAAATGTTTTGATCCCGACTGAAGCATAAAGTCTTGCTAAACTTCACCCCCAAATCCTTGTTGGACTAATTCTTAATTACATGCATACCTTCTTTTCATGTTTGTATAATTCACGGCCCCAAATCTAGGCTATGAAATCTAGGCAAACTTCACTTTGGGGGAGGGGGTGAGTTACCCTAGTTGGTTCTGAGGACTTCAGTCCTTTCTTACTCTTTTCCACTTTTTGCGGTTGGATGTAATTTAAATATTTTACTTCCGGTGTATTGTGGACAGGGATTGGAAAGTATCAACAGAGGGAATTTTAAAAACTAAGTCTGTGTCAAAGGGGTTGTCATAATGATACTGAGGACTATATACATGTATAAATTCAATTGGGTGAAAACAGCACATACTGTTAGCAAGGTCTTTGAAGGCATCCACGCAAAACGCAATGGAAATGAAGAGTGCAAAGATCTCTTCTGTTGACCTACGGATTCAAACAGAATCAGATCCTATTTAATACAAATACTCAACACATTTAGTCCAACAAAGCTGTGGTTATTGTATCTCTTACCAACAGGAAATTAGAGCAACCGATGCAAGTGGGTGACAGAAGTCTCACCACTACTGAATAAACAGACTTTGCTCACAAATTTATATTTTTTTGTCCATCTCAATCATGCATGCAGCTCTGTTGGTGAGCATGTAGAAATTTAACAGGCAAACTAACAATCAGAATTTCTTCTGTTCACCTTGTGGACCACTTCATGAGGCATGATGCATCACAGACTGAATACAGACAGAGGAAGAGGGTGTTCCAGAAACCAACCAGGGCATACATGGTCAGGAAATCCAACTCAAAGTCCTCACAGATACTGTAGATAACTGGGAAAAAAATTGCAGCAAATCTGGTGGAAAGAGGCCATTGTATTCTGTAAATAAACTCTGATTTGTGTGATGTATTGTATCAAAAGAAGGGAAATGTAGGGTTAATTGACGAGCTGTAATGTAAATAATCCAGTATCACACCAGGACATACAATGTGAAGAATTCCTGTATGATGCTGTCTCACAGTAGATAACTCCTTCAAAGGAAAGATACACTGTAGCTAGGCTGATATAATGGACTTAGGAAGTCAGTTACACACCGTGACATGCATGCATGCTTACGAGTCGCTCAGGGCAAGAAAAATCTGGATCAAGATCTTCATGCTAGACTACATGTGCATTAAGTATGAGGCAGGCTATCTCAAAGAAGATTGTGTGTATGTAATCCAGACACCAAAACTGGGTTGCCGACTTAAGACTGGAAAACTCTGAAGTAAAACACAACTCCAAAGCAAAACAACTCCAAAGCAAAACACGTCTAAAATATGACATTCATTTCAATACACATAAGCTAATCCAGTTGTACAACTGCTCGGAACAAAGCATCACATCAATCACTCCCATTTCTCTGCTAAAGATGATCGTCTCAAATGAGGAAGCACCGGTTATTGAGTCCTCGCGTCTGGTGAAATATCTCAGAGCAGGTGGGGAGTGTCTGATTGATCAAACTTTGCAAAAACCTAAGCGTGGAACAGATCGGGAGTCTGTGTCATCTGAGCTGTTTTCAACCCACCCTACTTTCCAACAAGCAGCCCAACGAGGGCCTAATATACAGCTTGTCTAATGGTTGGCGCCTACGAGTAATTTGAGTGTTTTAATGAGATGCTGTAAAAACCATTTGTTAAAGCCTTCTGAGGTTATTAATGCTGCTCAATGACTATTTTATTGTTTTTTCCCAATGAAATGGTGTTTCTAACATGCCAACTTCCGTTTCAATGTTAAACCTTATTGGGATGAAATCTTTAGTAATCTGGGCTTTTTTTCCCCTACTTTCAAATCTTGTTTTGATTGGTGACTAACTGGGGTAAAAGTTCCAGGGGAGCAACTACGAGTACACACCTTTCATCAGGGAGGGGCACCAACAGCTGATGAACTGTGTGTTATACATAAGTGTACATTTCAACATTTCAAGCAGGGGCACGCAAACCTCTGCCAGGGGGGCATGCACTGATTTCAAAGTACCATGTTTCAAACCATGGAATAAGAAGGCTCTATGGTCAAAGACTGCGCTTCCAATGTCGTGAAAAACCGCTTCAAAACATATATAGGCTAAATAGCTTCCAGAGAAATGACAAACCTTAAAACAGATATTTTTATGTGCTTTCCTCAATCACTGCAGAGTATGAGGTTGATGGGGCCAATTTCACCGTGACAGAGCCGCTAAGCACAGAAATTTAGACAAAATGCATGGTACCGGCCACAAACTAATGCAAGTAATACATATTCCTGTAACCAGTTCTCTACCGATTATTTTCTGCTCAGAAGCTATGTGAAATTATGCCATCACTGGAGCAAACATATTACACCCCCCCCGCAGAAAAGCCAGCATTTGACTTGATTGTTTCACTGAAAGCCAACCTTTGTTTAGAAACTCTTCTAAGAATATCTGTTGTGCATACACAGTACTGTGTGTCTTTAGTAACTACATATACAGGGAATCACAGCAATATATTGACTGCATCGGTAAACGATATCAGACTATGTAAAGAAACGGTATCAACAACATTTGCTATGTGTGGGGAACTGGGTTGCTGGGACACCAGATATCAGCAGTTGTCAGTATGCATTCACCATGGGAACTGTTCAGACTTTTTTTCCCTCACACTTGGAAGGGACGTAGACCTGACGGAGGCTAATCATGGAACTTGTTCAGGGAAACAGGACACCACTGCAGATTTACGGCTCAACGCTCAAAATCAATCATTGTGTCTGGCCCACCTGCTCTCTACTGTGAAGCAATGATTTATCATACGTTAGGTTTTTAGAAATGATTAGAGGGAATTTATACAGCAGAAAAGGTAGGTATTTCATTGGATGAAAAGTAAATTGTATGTGATCATTACCTGACAAATTGTTTAATTTCACAGTGAATCAAACACAATCCAATGAACCAAATATCTCCACACTTTAATTCCAAGACCTTGGGATTAATGGGAATTTTATCCAAATCCAAGCCACTGCAAATAAACACCAAAATAAAAACAGTTTCTTCTTTCTCACTCAATGGAAAGGAATTGCAGGTTGACCTTTAAATCCTCCCTGTGACTCTTAAGAGTGTACGGACGTGAGCACACTATGCTCCAGTATTACCAAGTCTTTGGCTATTGGAACTTAAATGTCACTTCGGCGAGACACAAAAAAACGTAAATGCAATGGCCTTCCTGTCAATTCATGGTTTCTCAAATATATTCCTGACTTTGGGGCCGTCTCAATTCAAGAGCTGCTGAAGTAGCCATGCAGCCTTTGTCAGCAAAGCAGATGGTCATGCACAAACGGTTAATTTGGAACTGTGCATGTAACAGCTCACAACAAATCAACAAGCTTCTCCGAGAGGAAGGCACCTTTTCGTTGGCACAGAAAAGAAATGGGGCTCTAAGTGTGATGTTTTTACAAAAGATAGCATGGTTTAATCAGAAGGCTGACAAGGTATCTACATGTAAAACATGCCAACCTAGAAGTGTATTCAGAGTTTGGTGATTTGGGTTTGATTGCTTTTGTTGTGTTTTTATCATTGGTGTTTTGGGCTTTTCTTCTCCTGGTTTTACTATGTTCTTAACCACTTTGTGCCAGGCCCATATATCCATGTTGATTCTGCTAGGCAGGGTGACTTTTCTTTTTTTTCTGTGTTCAAATTTCTTTAAAATTCATAAATGCATTTATTGCATGTTTACACCCACACAAATGACTGTCTGATTGCTACTCTAATCCGACAAGCAACATCTACTGATGCCCAAGTATTTCAAGCCAGGCCTGCTGCCTTGTAAAAAGAGCCCAGATTGTGCGGTGTTATGTAATTTTATTGTGTTCCCGAAACCGGCAAAGTGCACTGCTGACCTCTTTTCAATAGGGGCCAGATTAGCGTGCAGCGCTATTGTATCACTCATCACTGAAACGCTGGAGTGCTTTGGTCCCCGGTGGTAATCCACTCACGCTGAAAGCAACAAACAGTGGTATAATCTTTCAAAACAAAGACGAATTTCCTCCGCAATTGACAGCTGAAAAAAATGTTGGCAATTCCCATCGGCTTGGTCTTTTGTTCTGAGTAGGGTCTTTTGTTACAAGGCCCAGCTCTTCTGTCTGGTTTTGGCTCCCTGGCTTTGTGTATAAAGCCTATGTCCCCACACCGGGTACCCTGGCACAAAGTGGTTAAACAGATATACCGGAGATGAGAGAGGGAAACATTTGCTGCTTTTTCCTGTAAAATAGCCTTTTCAGAAAGTAAAGCAAAAGGAAACTTAGACTACATTTGGACTAAGCGCCAAATGAATACGGTAGACCTTGAGGAGCACCGTTCTTATTCAAGTCCGTAACTCTTGATAGATCATTTGAAAAGGAATTGACCACAACACTGGAGAGAATAACCAACACAAGCCCTGCCTGATATCTGCATCTAAAGCTCAATTAAGAGAGCACTCGAATAGCAGTCGTGTGGTTCAGGTTCAGATCCACCTAGTAACGTGTAGGCCTACTTTTGATGTATATGGCGAGGGGTGCCGTCGTCAGCATGACTATCAGAGGCTGCCCTCCAAACAGACAGAAGAAAAGACCTCCAATAGTCTGGGAGACGATCACCTTCCTCACATCTGAAAACAAGGAAGAGAGTTGGACAGACATAAAAATACCAGATAAAGACAAGAACATCAAGTGTATGTTTATCCACAGAGCCTTTGAAACGATAACACTGATCTCCACCATGCACTTAAACTAACAGAGTGGATCTGTTTATTGTCAAGCTCTCAGCTTGCGTCATATCCAACAACACGCAGAGCTCCAAGCAAAGGTTACAAACTGAATCAAAACAATGCTTGGTCAGCATGCAATTAATGAGGTTTATTGTTGAAATGTATGCATATTTTCCATGCTGGCAATCCATACTTATCAGATTTGACATTTAATCAGAATATGAGCAACAATGACTGGTTTGATACGATACATGTATACAGAATGAGCTCTGTGAACATTTTCACAAAATAAAAAAAAATACCAAAAAACATCAGCAATCCTGTTATCATATTAGAAAGACCATTCAACACCACTTTACTTTAAAAGAGAATGTGTGTGAAAAAAGCCAAATGTATATACATGCAGTTCATAAAGGTATTGTGAAAATTGAATCAAAACCCAAATGCACACAGTCATTCCAAAACAAAAACTCCATTCAGGAAACACTTGGGCCCCCTCTACCAACCCTAAACAGTTCCCCAATCATCACCTCCTCCCTGATGCAGTCTAGTATTCCTCCTACAAGAGCCAGAAACGTGGCTCGTCTCCAATCCTTCCGATTATGCTAAGACCCATCTTAGATTTCCTGTCCATAGAGCCAGAGTCAGTTTAGTTCTCTTCGCCGTCACATCCCTCCCTAAGCTCTCCGTTCCCCCCTCCCCCCCTGACGCTCTAGTTGTTTGGGCTTGTATTGATTCAGTGTCCGATAACTGCGACGTGACAACGAAAGAATGCCGATCCCGTTATTGCCAACCAATCCGGCAAGCCCAGCAACAAGAGAGAGGGGAAAAAAAGGGACGAGGGTCTTTCACTGGATAAATCCGGAGTGTTCTAAGTGGAGAATATGTAATGATTAGCATCATGTTGGGTTTTTTCTTTTTTTTTTCTCCAGTTATGTTGGTAATGTGTGAGAGATATCTCAGCTCTCTTTCTCAGAGAGAAATGAGTGACTCTTACTTAATCAACCTACAGCACGAGGCACTTCGTAGTACGACAAAAACGAAAACGGTTTAGCAGTAAGATGTACATGTATCACAGACGGCCATTTTTTTTTCAGCCAGATTTTTGATCAATGCAATTTGAAATGCAGTGGTGACAATCTTGATATGTATTATTCTGTTACTAATAACCTCATCAGGACTAATTCTTTTAATTTTCATGATCGCACAGCCAAAACTGCACAGAGCCACATGAAACAATAAAAAAATGACAGAGCCAGATACACTGATCCCTTGATTTTGGAGAACATTCCATGTGACAATGTTTTCTATTCATTCACGGTATAAAATGACATTGGAATATTCTGGGAATATTCTTGGGTGACCTTAAAGTTGCAAACTTAATTTACCTTCAACAATTTACAAATGTCGTCAAAGGCTGTCTGGCCCCGTAGGGAATGCTTTATGCAAGCTTTAATCTTACGAATTCCTTTCATGACATCATTCGTAATGTGTCTGACATCATACACTGCAAGTCTGCCCTGCTGTCTTTCAGACACAAGGAAGGGCCTAGCAAATCAATCTAGGCACTTTCAATCTTGACCAGTGAGAGGAATCGACAGAAGTCCCACAACCATGACGTCATTCGACGTAATAAAACAGAACCCCCCCATCCACTTATAAGATTATCGCTCAGCATGCATGCATCCGCCCCCCTGGCAACAACAACTTGCCAAGCTGTGAGGGGCCGGTGAGTTCCATGCATTATTGCGTCACACTGATCAATAACATTGCCATATTTTTCCCTTCTTTCTCTCCCGCTCCCCTCACTTTACCCCCTCTGTCCAAATGTTGCAAAGTCGATTTGTAGGAATAATTTCTGAACCGTTCCCTCATGCTTCAGGTGTGGGGCCTCTCGTAATGTGAGGGGGAATTCGATTTGGGCTGAGGTGGGGTGGCCATTTTTACGTGTAATCGAATAAGGTTTCTCCTGTTGACTAGCTGATGCTGCCCCAGACGGATATCGATTCTTGGCTTTGTGGGTGAGGCCCCCCTGAAAGTTTGGACACAGACAGCCGACAGAAATTTTTTGTCACTGATACACATTCTCATCAGGACGACACGGGATGCTGAATAATTTTCAAACCTTCCTGTTTCCTTTTTTTTTGCAAGCAGCCACCAATTTTAATTCAAAATCCATTCTTCAGTAGCTACGAGTTAAAACCGACAAATGTAAAAGGTCAGAAAATATGCACCTTTAAGTGAAACGCTGCCAGTATTTTTTTAACAAATGTTTCAGAGCACGAGATAGGAAAAGAAGACAACCAAAGTAAATGTTGCAGAAAAGCATCCGTCCTATGTCAAAGGTCCTCATGGCACACGGATCGCAGTTATCTTCTACTACTGTGAGTTCTCATTTACACAACATGTACTAGCATTCCGTCTCAGTGACCGACAAAGTTGAGTCAATGTCCTGTGTGTACGGCACTAACCCAATTGACGAAAAAAGAAAATTCATTTAAAAACAAATTCCAGAAGAAATTCTTTTCAGCTTGAGAAATGTGGCTTCATGCTGAAGCATGGGGCTGCGACGATAATGATGATGACTTAAACATACATTGTAACTGGGATGATTTTTTTTAACCTTGGGAGGAAATCTTCACAGGGCTTATTCCTAGTGGCCTTGTAATCCCCTGAGAGAAAAGCCGACAATTCATCGAATGTGACACCCCTGGCCCAAACCAGATAATTTTCTGATTTTCAGAGGTTTTCAACTCCAAGGTTGCATAAGGTAAAGAAATCACATGGAGATGAACAAAGTAACCAATCTGACAACATACTGCTATCGTAAATGAGATTTTGAAACAAAAAATTATCATCAGCTGAATGCCATGTTCCTGATTCCCATAGCAACCTGGTTTGTCACGGTACACCAAAACTACATATGCGTATAGATATGTGTATTTCAATTATTGCCAAATCAGTTACATGACCTTCAATCTTCTGATCCCAAAATTGAAGAAATTTGAACTGTCCACAGATCTCTTGTAATGTCCAAACAACCATTGTAAAGAGTTAATCATTCATATCTTGGCCGCCAAGCAATACAGTACACCAAATTTTCAACAGATGAAAAACAAAAGCTGCAAATCTATTACAGCAACTTTAGCTTTAAGCAGAAAACACCCTGATGAACATCGCCACATTTTCATGGAATGCTGAAATTTTTATCGGTCGAGACGGTTAAAAGCAGTGGCTACCTGTGACATTTCACTGCCGCAGAAATGCCGCCTGTGAATGGGGGGACCTTAAATGTCAGCTCATTCAGTGCCCTGGCAGCTGTCAACGGCATTTTGTTTCCAATTTCATTCAATTTTTTTCCCCTTCCTTCCCCTTTGGAATTCCCCTTGAACTTTCCACCAATTTAGGCAATCGTAGGGTGCAGGGCAAGAGCTTCATTCAGCATATCCCTGTCCTTCTCTTGAACATTAATGCTCAAGAGGTGAAGCTTTTACTAAAACTCTGTCAGAATCCGTGATTGGCAAGAGCAAACATTTTCTGCCTTTTGAAGTTGGTTAGGCACGAGATGATAAAAAAAATTGAGACTAATAATAACAAACTGTGTCAACAACGCAAGTGCCCAATATAAGTGCCTGCAGTGAAATGTGTGACAACTCAAAGAATCCTGGCCAAAAAAAAACTGCAACAGAGTTGACTGCAAATTCTGCTGAATTTAACAAATGTCAGGAGGCTAATATTAGACTTTTCTTAGTTTTAAAAACCTGTTTCAGAAACAGCCTTTGGAATGCATAAACGTACATGTAGATTTGGCACAAGTAGGATGCATCCCCCCTCAAAAAACAAATAGTGGCTAGAGAGACAGTTTTCATACACTAAATTTTTGCAATTTGTTTGCAGGAATATAATTCTGAGTACCATTTACGATTTCAAGTGTTTGGCAATATCTCAGACTTCAAAACACTTCAAGGAAAACAATTCAAGTGAAATCCTTGAACACAATCTAATGAATAAATGCTCATCCTAAATCACAGATTATCAATGTATGAGGAAAAGACAAGTACAACACTGGAACTCGCTCAACACAAGAAAAGGTTGGAGAGCACACTGTGATTCAGTTTAGCCAATATAAGTTTTTTCTTTTCCTAGTCAGCTGTTTTAACGCATGCATTTAAATGCATTCTCAACTGATCTCGTAGATCTGATTAAACAGACACAAAGATGGAATAAAACACTGAGTAAAACTTCCAGCATTCAAGAACTTAAGCACAAGCTAGCTGCAAAAATCTTTGAAAAATTCAAGCATAGAAAACAGTAACTGGTGGTTTCACATGACCGTTAAGTATTACCTGATCCCACAAAATGAGCCATAAGTTCTTTTTTTGGTAACTGTTTTTTAAAGTCTGCATTAGAAAGAAGAAAACTGAGCTCCTTGTTTTGATGGATCATTCTGTTTGACATTTTGACAAAACTGGACGTTATGTGAGCGGAAAATATTGAGGATTCAGGTTGATTTACATTGAACATTACTCTTTGAAAGGCCTTTATTAAAGTCAAAAGTAGCTCTGGCGACTTGCAGTTCATGTGCATAGGTTGGATCACAAATATAACCTATCAACACTGGCCAAAGAATGGACCAAAATGTCCAAACAAGCAGCTACTTACATGCACATCCATTATTTTTGATAAAGGGGTTCTGCATTAGTCAACAGGGACTTCTCCCTGCTTTCGATGGAGTGGAGTTGCATTTGCCAAACCGGAAGCCTGTGACGCACAGGAAATGAGCATAGAGTGTCCCTCTGCTTTATGAAGAGAGCTTGAAATATGTTGTCGCATGTAGCACACATCACGTCAAGCGGCTCCATCAATGAAATTTTAATTTTTTTTGCCTTCATACCTCAAAACGAGGTGTGCAGTAGACTCTAAAATTGCTTGATTAGGTTATTTGGATCAAATGTACTGGTATAGACTGACATTAAAGACGCTTTATGGAACAAGCCACACATTTTGTTTGAGGACCTCTCCCCTGATCTATATTTTGTACGTTGATCAATAAAACACATTTCACTTGATGTTGTGTCTTGTAAAGTTCCTGTCAAGGACACTAGATGCTATCAAAATGAGTAATGCAATAACAACAAGATTTCTGCAAACATTACAAATTAATGATTGAAATTCCCTTTGAACACACTGCTTCACAGCAACAAAACTGACTCTAAGTCAGTTTTTTCTCACATTATATTTAATGTAATGTTTCTAGTTGAACTGAATATTCAAAGAACTACACCCATCAAGTTTTTATAAGAAAACAAAACCTGAAAAGTGGATGTTTGGGGTCTTCAGTTGCATTTCCCTGCCAGTGGCTCCCTACGTAACAGTTAAATTCCTTACCTATTTTGCCGTGCGTGTTCTTGTCATTCAGCACCCCAAATGCTATGGACGGCAGAAGGCAAGCAAAATACAGGAAGAGTGTGGTGGAGACCAGCTTGTGCAAGGTCTTGTGACCGACAATGCCGTCGCGGAAGTCACTCAGATAGTGGGGGATCCGCCGCTTCAGGTCAGCTCGCAGACCTCTCGCACACCCACTCCCCTATGTAGCAATCAGATTTTCTGTTAATCAGTGTTACAGCCACGGTGGGTGGTGTCAGGAAGCACCACACGGTACTACAAATTTTCACCCAGCTCTCGGGTTTAAATTGGCTGTGCTGCCCAGCACGGATTTTCCAAAAAATAAACTGAAATATTACTGAAAATCAATGTACCAATTCGATTGTATTTCAAGCATCAGAAAGCATTGAGAACTGTACTCACTATGCTTTGCACTCCAAAAATTTACCTGGCACTAAAATAGTCCTAGCTAGAACATTGCTGTTAATCATTTGTTTAATCGATCAATCAATCCATTAATCAATCCATCAGTCAATCAGGAGATCAATTGAATCCATCAGTCATTCCTCAGGTGTGCTTAATTGGCAAAAATCAAAGAGAAATCTGAATGTTCCTAAAGAATGAAGAACCCACATGTTTAAGCAAATAAAAAAGAGAGTTTTACATGGAAGTTTCAGCTATCTCGAATCTCTGTGCACACTAACTCTAGGCACTTATGTGTGCAGAAGAGCTTACATCTCTGGCTGGTTCCTTCTACAAAGTCAGGAAAAGTTTGCATCATTTGCCACACCCATAGGTGAGGAGGACGTTTAATTGTGAAACGGAATTGTGATTGATAATATTGTGCTATTTTGCCTTTTTTTCAGAGTGGTTCAGAGACTTCTGATGTTACCCAGGACAACATTGTAAAGAAAAACTGGTTGTGGATGTGACATGGATGGCATGCTGCATTGTTTTCACTATGTTTGGATAATCATTATTATTTCAGGTTCTTGTACCAGTTTGTCTTAAATTGTATAGCTGTTACACAAACATTAACAATGTAGACACCCTGGACAACCATTCTGTCAACTTTATGTCAAATTTCACAAATGCTGAATACCCAGCTATCAAAAAAAAAAGACCCACAGGTAACAGCACACAAAATAAACGTATTGATTGAGCAATGTTCTCATGTACATCCAGTTGCAAAGACGTCCATAGAGGTTTTTACAAAAGCTAATGAAGCAATGAATTCTGTTGGTTGATAGTATTTCCCCGCCCATGTATGTTTAATTGATGGAACGCCTTTCACCCTTTCATCTTTACTCCTTTTTTTCTCCAAATTAAACACAAGACGCGAGAAAGGACAAGAAATAAAAAGGTCAAAGGATAGTTGAGACGAACAAAACTGGAAATATTGATTTTGAGATCTTGTTTTTTCCTTGTCTTTTTAAGGTACCACTAAGTCCTTCGCCAAATATGGTGCTGTTCAGCCATACGGAGGGTACATGCTTAATTCTGCCTCTAGGGCCAAGAAATGAATAACCCCCCAACTTAGTGATCAGCTGAAGTCGATGGCAGAGAGAGAAGGCTATCTGTAAATCTCGTTATTGGGCCAGATTTCGTTCTGATTTTTTGTTTGTCGTTCTTGTCGCAGGTCGCAATCGGACCTGTCATCTAGCCAGGGAAGCTGTACACAGAAATTTGCCGCTGGCATTTCAGGACAACAGCATTTTGGACAGAAGACCGTTTATGTCTTTCAATTTACATGTGAGTGTAGGTAATAAGACCTGATTTGATTCTCTGCTTCAGAGATTTCATCTTCATTTCCGACAAAGTGAGGGAGAAGATTTTTTTTCTTTAGTTTTTGGTGGGGGGTCGCAGGCCTACAGAAACTGGGCTCAAGAGATCTATTAGACTAATGGAATTGTCTGTCGACAATAATATTAGCCATCTGCTCTCTTTGAATAAACTGCATGCAAAGCAGCGGTCTTGTGGGTTGTTCTACTCTTTATTGGGATACTATTCTACAGCAAATGCCCCATTTGAAGTCTGGTCATCATAAGTCTAATGGTCATCTTGGTCAAATGGCACAGCAAATAAAATCAAGAATACTGTAGCCAGTTGGGTTGAATTCCCAGTGTGAGAAAAGTGTAGAACACTTAATGTGGCTATTATCCTTAGTTGCATAAACAGCCTACCTATTATATTTGTGCAGTATGAAATGGATCATTGTATTTAAGTGATCTTGTTTAAAAATAAATCCCTTTTTTGAGGAGCTAGAAGTTTATGAATGTACCGACTTTCTGGTACCAACAACCGTCAACTTTTAAAAATGAAATAAAAATGGTAAGAGTTTGAGCCATTTTTTAAAAAAGAAGAAAAGCTCACCACATCAAAGCCATCAAATGGGACAACACTGGGCCTAGATATCCGGTGTCGGGAAGATTGACTCTGCTGTATTGCCAGCTCCTTTGCATAACAGTTAAGAATCCTCTTGAACTCATCCTCTGAAAAAACAAACAAAGCCATCTCAAGAAAAATAGAAGCAGCGATTGTCCCCCAAGAGCATCTCACAGGTTGAAACGGGGGGAACTCAAATACGATATGCCATCACCTCAAAAATCCACGCCCTTGTCAATAAAGTTGAGCCTCCCAACCCCTAGCTATGTGAGCACAGTCCTCCCTGCCCAATGAGAAACCACAGAATCATTTCTTTTTCCTTGGAACTCATGCCAACCGATCCCTTCCGAGCAAACATTTCACAAAAGCAATTTGCAACATTTAAACTTGGTTTTAGACCCTTCCTGGCTTTCAATAAATTCTCCTTCCCCCTCGGGATTTGGAAGACCCAGGCCTTGACTTTACCAATCAACAGCAGACGGCACTTACTGAAAGTTACTTGACTCTTTCACTCAATCATTACATACTGCTCTGAACTGTATCTTGTCCACGCTTTCTACAACCTGATCATGCAACTCTCCTCTTGTCAATACACAGGATGCTGCAATCATTCAAATATTTCTTCTATTCAATTGAGTCTCATTCACTAACTGGATGTCAGTGATCTTCGCGGCAGAGTTGCCTGTACAGCATCACATGCATGCACTTACCATGGCAACCCATAAACTGAAACTTGACCTTTTGGGGAATAAAAGTTGGCCATGCACTGTACTGTGAATCACTCGTATTGCCCCCCCATGCCTACACTCTTTCCCCTCCTTGATCCAACCCCTCCCCTTTTTACCGGTACAGTACACCCCACCTGTTTTGGAAGCTTGGAGTAACTGCCTGCAGTCAATGTCGGCCAGGATGGTGGCAAAGGTGCGCGCTGTCTCCAGTGCGTTCTTGGTTCCCTTCTCCCTCATGGGTGCCATGACCAGGCAGAAGAAGCGCGTCTCCTGGCTGGTACGCCCCAAGTTGGCCGCATGCTTCAGCCTGGCTATGGCCACATGGCGGCGCTGTAGTGACTGCACTGAACACCTGATACAGGCAAATCAGTTTGAAAAGAACTGAGTCAACCTGATGCAAATTCTTTGCTAGCCGTTAACTTCTCAAGTACTGCTTTATTGCGACAGGGTTTTACCTGCAGGCATCAAACACAGTGCACTGACTATGGGTCTATAAGCCCACAGGGTGCATAAGCATGTACATGCACAGTTTCTGCTCTGACTTGAAGTATATGTATCCCTCGCCAGCAAAGAGGAGACAGTCTGGTGGCAGTTTTTGAAACACACTTCTGCATGCATCAAGCGCACATACCAAGACTGTTCATTCCAACAAATAGATAGGTTATTTGCTTGCTTATAGCCTGTAGTGCACCAACCACATATGAACCCTTGCACGTGATGAGGTGAATTCCCACCAGCATCATTGCAAGGTAAAATGATGCCATCTCTTAACTGTTCCTACTCAAAGCAGATATGCCCGCAGATATGCCCACAGATGTACATGTACATACACTATGGAAAAAGCAACTACAGTACATGTCCATGTACATACATGAAAATCTGTTTGTCATTTAGCCATGTCTGTTATTTTTGAAGTAAACTGGTATGCCACGGTTCCACTGGACTAACCTGTTAGTCTCCATGTCCTGTGAGATTACAATTTGTAATTTGTGGATTTGAGCAAACAAGGAATGTGTCCCAGAGTATAAACCAATATCCTTTACACGTACATGTACATAATTGCTACAGTCCATCCTAGGCCTATGGCAGGTACCGTTCCAAACCGCCATTGTAAATATCCAGTTCTATTTTTTCAGGTTGTGTACCTATCCAAAAAAAGTCACACACACAAAAAGAAATTGCTGAGATGTTTATGTCATTTTAGATTTGCATTTATTACGGCACACTTGCAGAACAAAGCATCAATTCTCAATACGGTACATGTACATCTTCCATCGTAGTTGGAAGGAACCCTTGTGGTAAAGCACTGTACCATGATCATATGCAATACTGTACAATCTATTTACTGTGATATCCAGTACGTAGAACAGGTCATATATAAGTGAGTAATTATGTCATTTGCATGACCAGTTTTTGCTGCTTTTAAAATCAGCATCTTCTATTTGCATCAATGCAAATGAAAAAAAAAATCGATTTGCATTTCTAAATGCCATATTGGCCAAGTGGGTGATTGAATTCACTTTTCTTCAATTTTACGGGTACTCAGGTACTCCTTTATACGAGTCCCTGTTTTCAGAAATACCCATAAACTCACAGGCCCAATCCATCCAGTGCTATATACAAGTATCTGTATGATAGGTGCCTCGTGGAGGGGGTTTCCCAGACATGGCAGATTTGAAGTATTCGGCCAAAACTCTAGATGACCCTTGCTCTTCACCTTTCCTTAAAAACCAGGCCAATTGAAATTCTGATGAACCCTATTAACACTTGAGCTTGGTGTGCGGAAACACACACATCCCCAACCATTCGGATTCCCTAGGGAAATCTCTCGTCTCTGTTTACGGACACGGGTACTGGCTCATTCTGCTCGCCTCCCCCATGCCAAAATAAGAAAAATCAAATCACTCACTCGGATAGACTTCACATCGCATGCTGAAACTATAACAAATCTACCTTTCCATACCTCCCTGCCCTGCACGCTGGTTTTCGTCCTCGTCCAAGCTTTTAATTTTAATTCAGATAATCTTTAGCGGAGATGATTCGATTAATCGCATATGGCTTCGTGTTACATGACAAGTTCAGAGGGGCTGTTAGAGTCATTAAGACTGGTACAGGAAGAATGCACATCATGAGAGAAAGACTTCAATGGTCGATGGTTTAAAAAGTTCTGTACACTTTTGTTGGCAAAACTGGTACAAAAGAGGACGTCATAAAAGCTTCCCAAGATGGTATTTTACCCCTGGAACTTTTACCAGGCTCCTGATACATGTATTTGCAATTAGCATCCAAAATGCCGCTTCACAATAAAACTGACCAGTAACCAGTTCATACTCAAGCACCATTTCCTGAAGCTCAATACTCTGCCTACTCAAATGTTGTTTTCCCAAATGTGCACATTCAACATTGTTTTCTAATCCTTTGACAGTATCAAAGGTCTTCCCAAGACTGATGCCCAAAAAATTGTTGAGTGTGTGAAACAAATGTACGGTTGTAAAGATTTACCAGAAGTCTGTGCTGCATTATAAATGCCAACAAGACATATTAGCAATTAAATGGAAAATGGATTGGCTGATGTATACGCAGAAGAAGACAACCTTTATGGCCAAGACAAGCGCTCCATCTCATTTTACAGGCTGACATTTTGGACAAAATGTTAAATTTGAATGGAATAAACAGCCTTCTCTCGGGCAAATGTTATGGTAATCAGTGATGGGAAAAGAAGAAGAAAAAAAACAGGATAAGCACATGTATCTCATTTTTGATCTGAATTCTTCAGATCCCAATGGAGAAGATTCTTTATCAAGATTTTACAAGGCAAATGTCAAACATACATGCACATGCTTTATTGTCTGATGAATATTTCACATGTGATGGATCAGATCCAACTGGAAGTTCTCCGTTATACAACAGAGGAAGAAAAATATAATAAGATAATACAATGTTCAGGAGATAGTTCTTTGGTTTCTTTTTAATTGTTTTCCCCCTGCACAGTTCAATGCAGTGATATACGTGTATGCACCCCGTTCATCCTAAAATACCATGTCAGAGTAACCGGGTGGATTTTATCCCAAGAAAACACAAGCTGCATCTCGAAATCAACCAATCGGGCCAGGGCTTGTTGACTTTGCATGATTGTGCAGGCTGACGTCTTCACCCAGGGCAAAAGGGAGCATTTCCCAAGTTTTTTTTTCCCATGCTATTTATCCCGGGTTTTCCGACAAGCAAGTAGGATATTCACCCCACGCTTGCATGAAATATTTCTTTTCTTTCTGTCGGTGAGTGCTCAATTGACTGAGGGTGTGCGCTCATGCATTAAAGATGTATTAAATGTTATTTTAAGAAAAAAAGTACTTCATCTTCAGTTCAGAAACGAAAATGAAAACAAAAACAGTCAATTTTGTCGAAGATGTACATGAATGTACTCTTATTAGTTCAGGACTGACATACGTACATTTACAGTAAATGTACACATACATACTGGTACATGTACAATATAACTCGGGAATTCATGCAATGTACTGTTGCACACATAAACCAACATTAAAGTGAGTGGTTAACTTTTTAAAAGTAACATCAGGCCAGCATCAATAAAAAGTCACTTCCTTCAATTTCTTCTTTTTATGTTGGAAGAGGTTTTCAAGAAAATGAGTACAGTGCACCATGGATGTGCTCTGTGAGTACTGCGCCTTTTTTGGACTTTGGAGTACATAAGGCCATTTTATGGAGTTTTTTTTTTTCATTCATTTGGCCGATTTTTACTTGGGTGCAATATTGGACTTCCACATAACTTTACCCTTCCTTACTACTCTGGTCCTTTCTGCATTCGTGTATGTTTTGTGGGTTAGTGATGAGACCGACCACACGCCCATGTGCCCTTCCGACTTGAGAATGTTTCCCGTCCTGACCCTGCATGCAAGCAATAATTTGATTCTGCCATGATTAGATTTGTTGAGCATCTCCTCAGTGGATGTTCCATGATGTTTGGTGCAACATAAACAGAACGTGGCATATAACTGCTCATTTAATTTGCTGTGAATGAGTACGAGCGCTTGCCAGAGTGTGTTACATACGCTGACATCTGAATACCCATCTCCACGGTCCTCTAATTATATCAAATACCTCAACAGAGCCGAGAAGCTCCCAACAACATCTTCTAAACAAAACAAGAGAGTTCTCTGGTTCAGTGATATAACCGAGAGATTCCGACTTCATGATTTTTTCATTATACCCCCTTTTTTTTCACAGTGCATATTTACCCTCTTATCCAACACAGTGGAACAAGAGCAGTATCAAAGGATCATTATGCGCCAAAACGATCTTGGAAGGAAAGAGAGAGAAAAAAATGGAAGAGGAAAAGAGTTGGGGAATATAATCCAAGAGAGAGGGAGCTTGCAGCCCCGTGGCAGGTAACTAATCTCCTGGTCTTGTCATCGTTTCTTTTATTGCTGACTGGATAATGTCAGTCTCCCTTTAGGGGCTGTGTGTTTAAATACTGTTTTTCTTCTGCTGGCACGTCAAAGAGTGCATTTTTGTTGTTAACGAATTCATGCAAGGTCTCAATGAATGTCTCTGCTTATCACTTGTTTTTAATGCGTTTTTTCAAAATCTCCTAAACCCACTCAAAAATGGAATTTGTGGTTTATCTTGGAATTCCTTCATGTTTGAGACTGGTGATGCAATAGCATCTGACACAGGGCACTCACTGCCAGATGTTTAATTACTAGAAGGGAAGTTTCAAGTTTCTGCATTCTTTTGAGACAATGTGAGACAGTTTTGCAGTTCTGCTCCCATCAGGGTTCCACTGACCAAGTGGCATGTTGGAAAAATGGATAAGAAGTGGAGTTGTAAATATTTCCCTGGTGTTATAAAACAAGGAGGCAAAATCAAACAGCTGATGAGATTTTTTTTTAAATTCAATCCTACATGTGTACAGATATCACTTTAAGGCACATGTTCTTTTAATAAATCCTTTTCAGTACTTGTTTTCATGCAACTAGTAATGATAAGTTTCAATGCATTCCTTCCCTGAAGATAGAGGACAAGTTTGTCGGCATTAGAAGCTATACAGCACTTGGAAATGAACTTGAATGAAGATTCAAGTTTGTGTTTTGTTTTCTGAAATTGTGCCTTCCCATGCAGTTCAATACAGCAAGCCCTGTAGTGGTTTTAATGAATTTCAATAAGATGCCTTTCAACCATTACTAAAAAGAAACCCAATTAAGTTCCAAATTATGAATCAAGTGCAAGCATGTTTGTAATCTTCATGCATTGTACTTAACAAAAACATTGTTTCTGGAACATGAAATCAAGTTTGGATTGCAGCCTCAGCTCTTTCTATTAAAATATGGTATTCTGAAATCGTTCATCAGAGGAAAGAATTAAGTCCATTTCACTTGAAGTTTTTCTGAATACAGATTTCATAAAAAGTGAAACCAACTAACTTACAGGGCACAGATCCAGGACTGGTCGTAGTCAAACCCTCCGCCCAGACTTTCCGACGTCCCTTGTATTGTCTTGGCCAGAACGTGAACTGCAAGACAAGAACGACAAAAAATTAGACCAACTTAATCATACATATTAACATAGGACCAGTCTCAATAAAACGAGTTTTATGTATATGTGAACTGAGCATGCTCAAAATGAAGCGTGTCACAGGTCACGTCAATACCCGTGCCAGAGGTTGGGCCCATCAACATGGATGTACACTGACTTGCACACAGTGAACCCATTCAAACTTGCTTAAAGTCAGGTCCATTGGTCTCAAATAACCTTGTCCTCTCAGAAATACAGAAGTGGCTCATTCCCATGTTACTTTTGTTGGTTTTTTTTTCACTCAGTGAGAGAAAAATTAGAAAGCAGAAATTAGAAAGTCCATTAATGGTAAATTGAATATACCCGGCAAGAAATGAGACCGAGGGGTACCCCCCCAACATGTCCAATCCCTATACACATTCCAGACTATTGTTACTTAACACATCCCCCCCAAGATGTCTGAAAGGAATTCCCCAGCTTCCTGCGAGACAATGACCAACACAAAGCAGGGGGGGTTCTCTCCGTCTCATACCTTGCTGCATATGAAATTGAAATACAACCAAAGTTCCGCTTTTTTCCACTTCAAGCGGTCTAGTGAACTCAAGGCAATGATATTAATGCCAGTGATTATGCCCATGACTATTAGCATCCCAGCCTAGTGAGAGTCCTCCTTAGCTCTTAGAGACACATGTGGAAGTTCTGACATGCTAAACAAACAGTGACTTTTCCCCGAAATGACGTCATGCAGGGTAATGCATATCGCTTGAGAGAGGTTACACCTCATTTATTAAACAAGATGTGCGTGCCAGAGTTCCAAACATTCGAGTCCAATACATGTACGCTCACCTTCAGCACCCGGGTAAAGATAATACAACATCAATAATGCAGGCACATGAAGAGCATTTCTTGCCTCACTCTGAAGTGTGACTCACAATCCAAACAGGAAATGTACCATGTAACATCAAAAATCATTTATGCAATCTGTCAAGAGCAATATTCCTACCTTTTTGACAAATGTACGGTACTCATGGCATTGTCTGAATCTTTTAACGGTTTTACTCCGAAATGCTTTTGTCCTGTCCAGTGCTTCCGGAGTAAAATTCAAAACGCATTATTCAACTAAGCGAGGAGAGCTAGCGAGTCTTGGATGTAAACATGTTTTTCCGATCCTAAACGCCCCCATAGCCAGGGGGATGAGCGTTATGTCACAAAGTATCAATTGGAAGTCAGGATTAAAATCGATATATGTCCAGGGTAGTAGGCCTAGGGAATCTTTTTATGTGAAAAACAGGTTTTTAAATCAGGTTGTTACCATTTTTGTGTGCATGGATGATTTGGTCTTCTAAAGCTTAATGGAAATACTTCTTTGCGTCGGTGCATTTTAGTGGGAAGCTTATGGTATTTCTTGACAGTTTCACACGCGGGCTTTTCTTCCCAGAAGGCAAGGTGAGGATTTTCACAGCCGTGCGCGTCAACCATCAAAGCCATCAGAAATGGAGAAGGTTTGGTTTGGGGCCCTGAAGGCACTGATGGGTCTATAACCATAGAGGAAGGACACAGGAGGAGTTTACTGTCCGGACCATAAAATCTGGCCAATTACCGCTTTCTAGTATGCCCCGTATGTCCATAGCCAGAATGCACTGAATTACTACACACCATCCGTTTCACAACCATAGGCTCCCTTTGTAGCCCACGATTATCGCCGTAATTTTTCGCTGGTAATCGGCATCCTTAAAACGTTGTGTACTGCAGTATAGGAAGTTGAATATTTATGCCGTCATCGGTGCTTGGTATGATCTGACAACAACATCAAATTTAATGTTTGCGCAGTTGCTTTTATAGGCCATGACCCGAAGTATTCATGTGCAGTTACTGCCCTTATCAAACGCTTTCTTCTGGACTTATTTTGGGAATAAATAGCCCAGTTGTTTAAAAGATTTTGTGTTTTATTTCAACAAAAAGGTATTTTATGAGATCTCATGATCACTCCTTGCTATGAAACAGAGCAGTTTGTTTTTCCTGAACTTAACTGTCCTGTGGTGGTCAACTTGTTGTTGGCCAGTCTTAGCCATATTCATACAAAGACTTTGAAAACTGATGTTTTGGAGTGACAAAATAAAATTACAAACATTTAATGGATAATGGAGAAGTGCATCAAAATCTTTGTAAAAAGTTATTCACGATGGCAAAAGTAAATCTAATGTTAGATATTTTTTCTTTCTATTTCCTGGTCACTGCGACAAATTGTAATTAACTGTAAAGAAAACACCACAAATATTGCTAAGATATTACTGGCCCCACTTGTCCGGCTAAGCTGCAGGCAGTAATCAGGCATTTTTGGAATGTTTACTATTTTTCATCTGACCAGGGGGCAATGATCATCGAGCACTTTGATGTGCCAGGGTTGTAACTCCTTCTGTGTCCTTCTTCCATGCTATAACAAGTGTTTGAAAACCTAGCACTCCCAATTTTTGAACTGAATATCAGGGTGTCAAAGTTCAAGTTGTGAGAGTTTACAAATTCGAGTTTGAAATAAAAGGTGTATGCAGTACTTTCTGCTTCAAACTACCTGTGCTTTCCAATGGAACATTCCAGTTGCTATTAACAACATCACATATGTCTAGCAGTGTCCACCTGTTAACAGTTATGATGCCCCATTGTCCCCACTATCAGTGTGTTATGCAATAATGTGCTTTCCTCAGAAAGAAAAGAAGTGTTGGAACCGCCACAATTCTGAGCCGATAGCCTGGCATGGAATTAAAACTAACGGTATCTTTATGCAGCTTCCAACTACTTGAGTAAATGTACTTTAACTTGTGGTTATGAAATGAAATTATCATAAACGATGCTAAATATTCATGTTTCAGACTTTTTTCAGATATTCTACAGCTTCTTTTACCTTGAATCTCCAGGCATCTCTTCTGCTTGTGTTTTAGGAGTGTTTTAGATTAAATCATAATTCCCAAGCCTTATTTACATGTGCACTGTGCAGACCAATTACCAGCACATCACATTTCCAATGGATCTCTTTTCAGAAATGAGCACCCAAACTATCTGCGAGGAAGCAGGGTTTTGGACCAACACCTTGTTGAAAGGGAAGGGTATCCCTGCACACCTGCCCGATCGTCTCGCTCACAATACCCTCCATTAACGTGACTCAATCTGCCATACCACTGTCATTCTTTCTCCTTTCCGGTCTGCTTTTCAGCCAAGGGATGGGGGGGAGGGGATGGGAGGGGGATGGGCCAGTGCATAGGCCATTGTTGGCCATGCATGGGTGCCTTGATTAATGCCTATGAGAAGAAAGGTAAGCAGCAGACACCTCCTGGGTGTGATCTAACCCCATGAATAAATCACCCTTATCCCGCTCTATAAATACACGTACATCTGCCCTTGCTGCAGTGCGCTCTGATGTACACGTACTCTACTGTACAGTGCTGTGTTCTTGACTTCACAATCTCCGCACCTACAAGCCAATGAAAACAACCCGGAAGCGGATTTCCTTCAGGGGGAGAGGGAAGCAAGAGTGGGCTGGACTATACAATAATCCTTTGATTAATCATGCGTTCGCCCACAGAAACAGTTCAGCTAATGGGCTGCGAGAGGCTAGGGTTTATTATGGTTTCTCCAAGTATTTTCCGCGCCACTTGAAAAGACAAACATTGTCACAAGCTTGCCAAGGTCTGAGAAGACTCATGTGTCATGTAATGATGATGAAACCTCACATCGTGCATTGATTTTCCCTAAACTGCTCGTTTTCTGAATTGTATATGCGCATGATAACGATGTCGCTTGAGCAGGATGCATCGTGCTTCACAACCAGTGCGTACATCACACAGTGACTGGGGAAGCAACACTGTGGCAAGATTATCTGCTAACTAAAAGAACTACCTTTGGATGCCCTGCTAGAATTTAATCATTTGACAGAATGATCAGCTTCATAAATAAGCATAAATTTCTACAGCACATTCTCCAAGAAATTTAACTGATAGTACGGATCTCTGAGTAATATCCATATTGCCTATAAGTACACTAGTAACCCGCCCAAGGTCATTTGGACACACCCTACTCTGACTAGCAAGCGAACTTTGTTCCCAAGTGACCTTGATGTTTTGAAATCCAAACCAGATCATTGTGAATTCATGAACAAGGCAACATGTATTATTCAGTTGCTTGACTGATCAGTCAAATTTGGAGGTCCATTATTTGGTTACATTTTTCTATTTGAATAAGTAGAAACCACTTCATGCTGTGAAAATAAAGGCTTTCTTTCAGAAGGCATGAGAGAATGGCCCAAAATGTCTCAAACCAAAACGTCGCACACATTTCAGGCACACAATTTTTCAACAAATGTGGGACAAACAAAGAGGCCTACGAAATTGACATAAAAACTTGGATTGACTTATTTCCAGTTGACAATTTCAAGAAGGGCTACTTTGTGACAATAAGAGCGTTACAAAACAAAATCAGCCACTTGATGATAAAACAGCAATCATGACAAAAAAGGGAACGACTGACGACTCAAAGAAAGACCCTAAACTCACAGACCTGATTGTGAGCCCCCAGTTGCAGGGGTTACCTTCCTCGCCTTTCACTTCGTTGGCCCAGGTCTGATTCTTGCCCTGGTCTACAAGTGGATTGGGTTTTCACTTCCTGCCGGATTCTGTACGCTTCCTTCCAAAAGATTCCTCTCTGGTCATCCTTCCACCTCTCAAACTTTGATTTTCCTTATACTCTTCTGCTTTAAGGCTTTCCAGCGATAGTGTCTCGAGCCCTTTTGAGGACTCCTCAGTTTCGCAACCAGATGGAATCGAATGAATCAAATACCCGTACATATTTTTGGGACGGCAAGAAATGGTCCATACTGGTCGCCGCTCACTGCTGCTAGCTATGAAGTAAGTAGGCCTATGCTTAAAGGCGACAGTGATACTTTCCTGATGTTGCGGCAGATGACGAGAAGAGAAATCCACTTACCGCCCACAGAGAAAGCAGTGTGCC